AAGGAGTTAAGTTAGGCCAAAGATTTATTGTTTATATTTTATTCTGAATCTTCAGTTACATCTTTGATATTTGTCCCAGTTTTGATTGAATCCAAACTCGCGTCAAATAAAATCTGTTTGTCAGAAGTAAACAACTTTTGGCCCCAATCAGCTCTGATGTTTGTAAACTTGGCCCCTGACAAGAATGAGTTTGAGCGATCTTTCTCTTATACTGGAGTAAGTCGGGCTTCAAGCTGGAGAAATCAAAACAGACATGACCAGAATCCCAGTGTTAGCTTTCAATTCAATTTATTTGTGTATAGCCGAAAAGCACAACTGTAGTTATCTCAGGACTTTACACAATGTTGAATTCGCAAACACAGATCAGAGAATCAAAGTTCAAATACAAGGAATAAAACAGAAAACACATAGGTCCATAATGTGGATACTTTCTCCCGCGATTCGATTATCGATATGCATTTGCCAAGTATCAATATCTTTTTTTTTTGAATTGGTATCAATACTTAATATATGGCTACATTACGCATCTCCATTCTATTAACCATGAAATAAAGAGTATTTTTTCTTTTATTAATGACATAAATTGGCATATTGTATATTTCTGACCAATATATCAATAATCGTATCGTGATAAAATCGTTATCGTGAGCTTTGTATCATATCGTATCGTGAGGTACCCTTAGGTTCCCACCCCTAGTCTTGAGTCTCCAAAAAAGCGCTATACAAAACAGATGGCTACAGTGGCTCCATTGGTAGAGCATTCTCCGACTCCCACTGATGTCGTGTCCTTGGGCAAGACACTTAACCCCACTTTGCCAATAAGGTGCGCGGAAGTGATGTTCGCTGCTTGCCTTGATGTGTATGTACATTTTTATGACCTTAATTGAACAAGCAAAAGGAAATACTAAAAGACTTTGGCAAACCATTGATAAAGTAACTGGACGGAAGAGTTTTAAGGGTCATAAATTAGAAATTAATATTAATGGAAAACCAGAAACTGATGCTCAAATTGTGGCGAATCATTTTAACAATTACTTCATATAATCAAAGAACTGGGAATCCAAAACAGAGATACAAATAATGATGTACAAGTATCTGATAATATTTCATATGAACAAAATATGCTAAATTTTAAAATGATAAATGAATTTGAAATAAATAAAATATTGCAATCCTTGACAAATTCTAAAAGTAAAGATAACTGGGGAATGGACAACGCTCTTCTCAAAAAACATAAAGACCATTTTGTAACTCCCATCACATACCTGACAAATAAATCAATAGAAGAGAGCTCTTTTCCTACTGCTTTTAAAACTTCAGTAATCACTCCAGTATTCAAATCAGGGGACAAACATGAGGTCTGCAATTACAGGCCAATTAGCATACTTCCTGTTGTCTCAAAAATTACAGAGAAAGTAATTGCGGCGCAATTAAAAGAACACCTAAACAAAAATAATATGCTCCATCCAATGCAATTTGGATATAGAAAACACCATTCCACCGAAACTGCATGTTGTTACTTTATTGAGGTAGTGAAGGCAAAGCTGGACAAAGGTGGGGTCGTGGGCGCCGTGTTTTTGGACCTACGCAAGGCATTTGACACGGTCAACCACTCTGTGCTAATGAGGAAGCTGAGCAATTACAATCTGTCTCCAAGAGCACTACAGTGGATAGAATCATACCTCAGTGACCGTGTCCAGTGCGTAAGGGTCAAAAGTAAGCTATCAACATCTAAGGCTAATGACATGGGTGTCCCACAAGGCTCTGTTCTTGGGCCATTGCTGTTTGCGCTTTACATAAATGATCTCCCTTTGGTGTGCGGTGACGTAGACATACAGATGTATGCAGACGATACTGTAGTTTACGTGCATGGAAGTGATGCTACCAGTGTAGCCAATAAACTAACCAATGTCATGGGAAACATATCAAACTGGCTTTCCTCTGCCTCGCTCACACTTAATGTAAATAAAACAGTAGCGATGTATTTCACCAAAACTCAAAAACTGAAGTCCTCCTTCCCATACATTTATGTAAACCAGAGTCAAATAAAAGTAATGAAGGAATTTAAATATCTAGGCCTTGTTTTGGATTCAACGTTTAGTTTTAAAAAACATGTTAAGAAAATTGGCAACACAGTAAAATACAGTTTCTGTTTTTAAACATATTAGGAATACACTGACTAGTGATGCGGCAAACATTTGGAGGCAATGATAATTCCACATTAATTACTGTATTTCTTGTTGGTCACAGACGAGTGACACAACAATAAAACCTCTAAAATCTCTATATAATCAAGCTATTAAAGTGCTAGACAAAAAGCCATTGAGATACCATCACTGTCTGATCCTTAGAAAATACAGCATGTTTAACTTTGATAATTTAATTGTGTACGCAAATGTGCGATTAGTTTTTAAAATTTTGAATAATACTGCACCTCCACCGCTGAAAACATTTGTCCAGCTCTGTTCTGAGCAGATGACTAGGAGCTCCAGGTCCACAAGTCGTAATGACTGTAGACTGCCTAAACGTAGCTCAGCCTTTGTGCAGACATCCTTCTCATTCAAAGGCATCAAAGAATGGAACAAACTCCCACAGAGTCTGAAACTTTCCTTAGACCTGAAAGATTTCTCTCGTAATACAAAAAGTGCTGTTGGTGAACCAGTCATGTCAGCACTGATAATTGTAAATGTAAATATGACCGTTAGTGATTTTTTATGTAGTAATTTTAGCATGATTTTATGTGGACTGATGGATGTAACCGGTGAATGTATGAATGAATATTTGTATTTGAGTGGTTAAATATATTTTATATTGTACATGTTGTGACTCACCTGCTCAGGGACTGCAGATGGAAACTAGCTCAAGCTAAATCTGGTGCAAAGCATCTTTAATTAATGTATTTGCACATTGTCCCTGTTGAAATAAATAAAATAAATATATTTATATGCATCAAACTGAAACTTCCCCATTGTGGGACGAATGAAGGACCTTCTCGATGCAGTATCATTTCAGTCTTCTTACACTGACCTGTCGTTTCAGGGATGGAGTTTATCTTGTTCTACTGCGACTTGTGTGACGTGAAGTTCAGTGATGAGAAAGATGCTCGCGAGACCCACTGCAGCAGCCCCCAACACTGCCTCAAATACCAGGTACGACTGAAGTTTAAACATCAGCAAAATAAGTTTTTAATGTAACTCCAAATCTTTTTTACAGGAGAGGACTCGTGGAACAACAGACTAAAACAACTACACTTGCTTTTTTATTTTTGTCTTAGTACAGATGTGTTGGTAACTGATTTAAGTTGCTTTGTATATTGTGATTTTGATCTTGTTTCAACGTGACAATAAAAGGTGCAGTGACTTGAACCAGTCTTCAAACAATTGGTTTTATTTAAAAAAGGTTGCTGTTTATACATGAATAAATCCAGTATAACTTCACATGGCTGATATGCACATTTAGGCGACAACTTTCACATTTAGCTCCAAAAAAAATCTTCAGCTCTGTAAAAACATAAAAATCTATTCTTGTGCCGTGTTTTTCTGCTCCATGTGCCTCTGTAAAAGAAAAGAAAAATCGTGAAGGCTTGGCGCTGTATTTGTACCAGAAGTTCAATATTGTAGTTTTATTCTGTTAGTTTGGCTCATTTGGTAAAACAGACTTAGTTAATAAACATTTCAGCTCAGTGGCAAAGGCTCATCTCCCCCATTTCTTTACCATCTTCAATGATTTGAGTTCAGCACCATGGGTCACCTGCACATGCTCATCTAAGATTAAGAGATCCTTTTGTCCCACTGCGGGGAAATTTCAGAGTTGCATCATCAGTTACAGAACAGTAGGAATGAGGAGCACACAAAATAAATGACCCTATTCTAATATAAAATATCTAAAGAAGCAAGTCTAAAATACAACTATATTTCTTGCACTAGAAAATACTGTATGTTTACTGAGTGGTTAGCAAGAATGTCCTGGGTTCGATGCCGGGTCGGAACAGGGTCTGAGTGGAGTTTGCATGTTTCCTCCAGGTACTCCGGTTTCCCCTACCACTAAAAACATGCTCACTAGGTTAAATCCTCCAGCTCTGGTCCTGACCAAGCCGAGCTGCAACATCTGGAGATGGGTTGCCGGGCGCTGTTACTACGGCAATCGCTGCTCCAAGCCTTAGCGGCATCAGGATGGGTCAAATGCAGAGGACGAATTGCCCTACGGGGATTAATAAAGCGCACCTTGACTTTGACCAAGAAATTTTGTCACAATGTCAGAAAGTGTAAAACAAATAAAATGTATATCTAGGCCACAGTTCTGTAATTTCTGGAGCCACAGAATTTATTTAGTACATTTATCAACAGGAGAGAAACGATCCTGCAGTAAACATTTCAGGTCAGTATAAAACACATTGTGGCCGTTCTGGCACAGTGTTGGAGAGATTATCTATCCAAGACTTCCAACTGTCGGAAGTCTTGGGTTTTTGGCTATTGTGTAAATTGTCATCTTTGGTAGAATCCTACAGACGTCTCAGATTCATTTACTTATTTGCAGTAAAAACCACATTGGATTACATTTTTAAAAGTCCCCAGTGTGCAAGTATATACATAAAACAAAATGTGATTACGATTTGTCTAGACTCACAGGGGCCACTGGACTGAACCATTTCCAAACATCTGCTGAGACACTCAAGACGTGTATCAAGACATTTGATCATTGACAACCGTAGCAACATGGATTTTTTTGGAATGAGCCAAACCAACAGAAAAAAAATCTATTTTGGATTGATCTTTTTTGGATGTGGAGATTGTGAAAACCTTTGAACCTTCTGCTCTGGACTCACCTGCAGCTGCTCGTAGTGCGGCCGACTGCTGCAGTGAGCGTCTCTGGCCTGCTCCTCGTCAGGACAGAGGAGGCAGCACAGGCCACAGTAGAACCCCCTCTGCACATGCTCCACACCTGAGGACACACACACACACTGCTGAAGACACACACTGCTAACTTTCTCTGAACGTGACTTTGGAGCCAAACATTTTGAATCAAAGATTGAAACAATGATACAAGTGTTGTGTTAAAGCTGCAGATCTGTGATGTGTTCCTTCATGGTCATGTGACTGTTGGAGCTAAAAGAAAAACACATTTTCAGGCTTTCATTGGCCACAAGAATTACATTTTACTAAGCACCACCTGCAGGTGAAAGCCTGATCTCAGAGGCTAAGGAGGACAAGGCCTGGTTAGTACTGTGATGGAAGACTGGGAACAACAGTTACAAGTCAAAGAGGTTCATTATTATTGGCGGTGGCGGTGGTATTACACACACATCTGATCTAGACGTTCTAATCCACTGCTCATGGAAAATCTGCATCTAATACAGAAGATTAAAATAATCAGCCAACATTTAGAACTACCTTCAATGAATGTATCTCAGTGAGAGGACTGAACCTTTTGGAATTAGTGTAAGAATTTAAACTTGACCATAAAAAATAGTGTTGAAGTGCACTGTGGGTGTTTTGTATTGTAGTGCAGGTCTCGTGTCTGAAGGAGTGAGGGGAATGGATCCAATTTATTTTTGTGTGAATATTTGTAAATACGCCTTGTAAAGGTTTGGAATATATCCTTTCAATGAAATTCAAGGACTCTAGCACTGCTGCAGCCTTAGGCTCTTACCAACAGGAGTGTGGGGGTCGAATGGGGGCAGCAGGACCCTGGACTCTGGCTCCGTCTGATCTTCCTCTTCACTCTGCCACAGAGAAGTCGGCGAAAGAGTTACAATAATTCTGTCACTAACGAAAGTGGCATTTCAAATTTACTCAATTTCCCAAAATTTCCCGATTCATAAAAGGTCTTCAGGGTTACATAAAACAAATCAAATCACTATGGTACCTGTTGCTATGATAATCACTATTGCAACACCTGGTAAATCTTGTATTAATACAAATTTCTTGCAACAATTTTTTTGGGAGTTTGTTTCTAGTTTCCATAGTGATGGTTGCCAGGGTTAATTACCATAGTGATTGCCATAGCAACACTTGTCATTGTAAAGCCTAGTGTATAGTTGCGCGGACCTTACGGTGGTGACGCCACCGCAAGGCCTTTACGTTGCCTGCCGCGCACCCTCAAAAATGTCTAACTACGTAAGGGTCGCCGCAAGGAAGCTCCGCTGTGATTGGTCCGTGTGTGTGTATTGGAAGGAAGCATGAGCGGCTGCAGGAGCAGGGACGAGACACTTCGGAGCAGACTGCTTCGCGCTTCGAAAGGGGCCGAAGGAAAAGTAGTTTGGGCTCATGGCGGAGACTGGACTGTTCAGTTCTGTTGCATATCTAACATATATATAACTTATAAACTGTGCAGTCGTTTCTTTTGCACTGTTCCTGTCTTTGTTTGAATCTGCACTCGTAGTTTATCGCGTCTGTTGCTTTCCTCCTGCACTTTTCAATAGTTCATATCTGTCTCAGATATTTACCACTTATTGTTTTGCTGTCGAGAGACACTTAACCCCACATTGCCTGAAGCCCCCGCTGAAAGACCAATGCTGTGTCACTGTTGATGGAGCAGCCATCTTCCGGTGGACTCACCCCCTGCAAAGGATCAGCGAGGAACTGGTGCTATGAGCATTGGGTGGCAGCTCTCATTGCCACCCCCTGACCAAGAAATGGAATGATAAAGGGGATGACAAGGAATGAATGAATGAATGAATGAATGAATGTTTTGCTGTTTTTGCTGAATACACTTTAATAATAACTTTTTCCAACAAGAACTGTGTCTTTGTTCACGTCACCACAGTTAAATGAGTTGAAACGATGAGTTTAGAACTGTCACATAAACCTACAGTAGAAACACATGTAATGATCTCAAACAGCTTCTCTTTTGTTTTTGTTCTGAAGAGGAGAAAGTAGCAGCGCAAATGGAACCGCTTTGGTTAGGCAACTCCCGTGAGTTCGCCATCACGTGGTTGGTTGTGGGATTACAACATTCGGGGAACGCGCAAGTGTACCACAAACTGTGGTTACGTAGGTCCAACTTAACCGTAAGCAGCGCCGCGCGAGTGTACACAGGCCTTAACGATTGTAGGGATTTTAGTCACAATGGCAAACGTTACCATGGCGACAGTCACCATGGCAAATGGTTGCTGCATCAACAGTCATCATAGCAACCGTTGCTATGTCGACAATCACAATGGTAACGGATGCTAGGTCGACAGTCACCACGGCAAACGGTTGCTACGACGACAGTCCCCACGGCAACGGTTGCTACGACGACAGTCCCCACGGCAACGGTTGCTACGACGACAGTCCCCACGGCAACGGTTGCTACGACGACAGTCCCCACGGCAACGGTTGCTACGACGACAGTCCCCACGGCAACGGTTGCTACGACGACAGTCCCCACGGCAACGGTTGCTACGACGACAGTCCCCACGGCAACGGTTGCTACGACGACAGTCCCCACGGCAACGGTTGCTACGACGACAGTCCCCACGGCAACGGTTGCTACGACGACAGTCCCCACGGCAACGGTTGCTACGACGACAGTCCCCACGGCAACGGTTGCTACGACGACAGTCCCCACGGCAACGGTTGCTACGACGACAGTCCCCACGGCAACGGTTGCTACGACGACAGTCCCCACGGCAACGGTTGCTACGACGACAGTCCCCACGGCAACGGTTGCTACGACACAGTCCCCACGGCAACGGTTGCTACAGTCCCCACGGCAACGGTTGCTACGACGACAGTCCCCACGGCAACGGTTGCTACGACGACAGTCCCACGGCAACGGTTGCTACGACAGTCCCCACGGCAACGGTTGCTACGTCGACAGTCCCCACGGCAACGGTTGCTACGTCGACAGTCCCCACGGCAACGGTTGCTACGTCGACAGTCCCCACGGCAACGGTTGCTACGTCGACAGTCCCCACGGCAACGGTTGCTACGACGACAGTCCCCACGGCAACGGTTGCTACGCGACAGTCCCCACGGCAACGGTTGCTACGACGACAGTCCCCACGGCAACGGTTGCTACGTCGACAGTCCCCACGGCAACGGTTGCTACGTCGACAGTCCCCACGGCAACGGTTGCTACGTCGACAGTCCCCACGGCAACGGTTGCTACGTCGACAGTCCCCACGGCAACGGTTGCTACGTCGACAGTCCCCACGGCAACGGTTGCTACGTCGACAGTCCCCACGGCAACGGTTGCTACGTCGACAGTCCCCACGGCAACGGTTGCTACGTCGACAGTCCCCACGGCAACGTGTACGTCGACAGTCCCCACGGCAACGGTTGCTACGTCGACAGTCCCCACGGCAACGGTTGCTACGTCGACAGTCCCCACGGCAACGGTTGCTACGTCGACAGTCCCCACGGCAACGGTTGCTACGTCGACAGTCCCCACGGCAACGGTTGCTACGTCGACAGTCCCCACGGCAACGGTTGCTACGTCGACAGTCCCCACGGCAACGGTTGCTACGTCGACAGTCCCCACGGCAACGGTTGCTACGTCGACAGTCCCCACGGCAACGGTTGCTACGTCGACAGTCCCCACGGCAACGGTTGCTACGTCGACAGTCCCCAACGGTTGCTACGTCGACAGTCCCCACAGCAACGGTTGTTATGTCAACAGTCACCATGGCAGCGGTTGCTATGTCGACAGTCACCATGGCAGCGGCTGCTATGTCGACAGTCACCATGGCAGCGGCTGCTATGTCAACAGTCACCATGGCAGCGGCTGCTATGTCAACAGTCACCATGGCAACGGTTGCTATGGCAATAGTCACCCCGGCAAGAGTTGCTATGGCAACCATCACTATGGGAACAATCATCATAGCAACTGTTACTATGACAACTTTTATCAATTGAAAAAAGCTCAAGTCAAGTTACGCATCTGTGATGTGTGCTCACCTGGTCCTGTGTCGAGTCCTCTAACAAGTCCTCTTCCTCCTCCGATGTTTCTCCAATCACTTCTCCCACGGGCTTTTCTCCTTCCATCTCCTGGTCTGAATCCTCTATTTCCTCAGCTTTGTCCTCCAGAGACATCACTTCTTCGTTCTCCTCCTCCCCTAGCTTCTGACACGTCTCCTCTCCGCTCTCCTCATTTCCTAGCTTCTTTAAAGTCTCCTCTGTCCCCTTAATGCTTTCCTCAGGACTCTCCCCCTCGTCCTTCCCCTTGGTTTCCGCAGGACTCTCCTCCTCGTCTTTTGCCTCAATAGTTTCTTCAGAGCTCTCCTCGTCTTTCTCCTTAGTCGTTTCCTCAGTGCTCTCCTCCTCATTTCCTTTCTCCTTTGAGGCCCCGTCACTCATCTCCTCCTTGCTCTTTTTGGAGGCTGGTTCGTCGCTGGACTTGCGTTTTGCGTCCTGCTCTCTCTCTCGTTTGGAAGTCTTCTTGTCGGCGCCCATCAGCACAACGTGACGCCTGAAACATAATGAAATGTCTATGTTTTTCTTCCTTCATGTATTTGCACAGTGGCCCTGTTAGTTGCAACTGTTGTGAAGAAAAACATTTAGGGACTGGACAGAAGAGGTAGAACGTATCTGGGCTTATAACAATTCGGACTAGTTATGTGTCTGAATTAAAAGATTAAATAAAATTAGTCACGCAGAACCAATGCTATAGCCTATAATAACGAGAGTACTTCTGGACAGCAAAAAACAACTTGTAATAATACTAACTCAAAAAGGTACTTAAACTAGCCTTGGCCTATCCACTATACAAGTAATGATTCATTTTGTGGATTTTGAATTGTATATTTCTAAAAGGGAAATGTAGGTATTTTCAGTTTTAGAGTCAAAAGTTTTAGAGTTTAGAGCCACATTTTGCTTTTTCTTTCAGGCAAAACAGGACAAATTCTGCAATAGTTGAATCACTGTATGTATATTTAGTAGTATGTATTACTGACCCTTGCAGGAACCTGTACTTGCGGCTCACATATATGGTCAGTCTCTGGCCGTAGAGCACTGCAGGCTGCTGGCGATAGTGCTCCACCACTCGCTCTGCCTGATCCTCTGTCTCCATCTCCAGGTAGCACTGCGTGCACACACACACACAAAGAAAGAGAGACGCACACAAACACAGAGAGAGACAGAAAGAGAGACACACCCACACACACAGAAAGAGAGAAACACAGACACAACAACCACACAGAGAGAGACACGTACAAACACAGAGAGAGAGAGACACACAGACACAGAGAGAGACACACAGACACAGAATCAGTAAACAACAAACCATTATGTATAATGCGATCACACACCTCTGGTTCAATACAACACAAAAACACACTCACCTCGTGGCGGAACTGGTGCAGGAAGTACTTGCGGACTTTCCCGTACTTCTCCACCATCTCCAGGATGTCGTCTATGGAGTACTTCACGTTGGGCAGTTTACCGATGTACACCACAAATCCAAACTGAGGTGAGCACAGCAGGAGCACATTTGTTTCATTCACTACAAATACTTGAAATTTCTTGCAGTTTCCTGAAGACGTGTTTAGAGCGACGCACGTTGGTCATTTATAATCTGTAAGATTCATGTTGCACCTAGAGCTCAGTGTTATGGTCAAAATCACATCACAAAACAATCAGAATCCTTTTTATTGCCATGTGAGTAACAGGAAGTCACCAACTAGGAAATTGCTTTGGCTCTCAGTGCAAACAAGCAGGAAATATTGCAAAATAAATTACGCCGGGAAAAACTGCACAACTTCCGTTTAAAAAAAAACAAACAGTATCTCTGTCTTATTGCTCTCAAAATTGTATTTTACAGTAACAGTAAAAGGGGAGGACCCCCCAAGATCAGCCAATCAGCTCTCAGTATATAAAGGATAAAATGTGTTCTAATAATAAAAACACACACTGGTCCAGACAGGGCTCGCTGAGGTGAGGGGTTTTACAGCAGGCTTAAAATAGACTGAAAAAGTGTCAACATAGAAGCTGCACACACCAATCAATTTTCTTCCCCTTAATCCATTTCTGGGTTGGGGGGATGACAGTCAGAGCTGCACCCAGTGCACAGAGCACCAGCCCCTCACTGATCCTCCTGCAGGTGGTGAGTTCACAGGGGCCTTGATCTTTCAGCGGGGGTTTCAGGCAAAGTGGGGTTAAGTGTCTTGCTCAAGGACACAACGACAGCAGACATCAGTGAGAGTCTTGAAGTAGGCCTTGTGGTAGGCTCGAAACTACAACCTTCGTGTCCAAAGGCCAATGCTCTACCAACTGAGCCACTGTCGCCCCAGAAGCTGCCTTTACCCATAGATAAAACACTGCCTTTTACAGAATTTTTACAGAATCAACAGATACCGAGTAGCCAGTACCTGTACGGTCAGAGCCGGCGCTTCCTATACGCAGACTACGCAGTATGCATAGGGCCCCGCAGCTGGAAGGAACCCAGAGAGCAGACTAAAATTTTTATTTTATTATTTAGTCATCGCTCTCACTCGTGCAGTTACGAGGCCCTTCTTATCCGGAATCACCCATTTGTTGAAGTTGTCACTTGCTGTCTCCCATGTCCTCACGTCGCATTTTCAACCCTCCCCTCCCTCCACCCTGTTGTTGTCAGTCGCGCAGCCACGAGCAGAGCCTGAGCATGAGCCTGATGCTATAAAGCGTTAGTATAATACACTACTAATATTAAGGTAATAATACTAGTTGGGATAATAATGAAACTAGTTATTGTATATAGTAATTGTAAGAAGTGCTTTTTATTCTTTATTTTTTATTTTGCCTTCTCTACCCTTACCTCTTTTTCTGACTGTTGCACTGAGCCAAAGCAACTTCCAAGCCTGTGGCAATAAAAATGATTCTGATTCTGATATTACTAATCATAATAATAATGATAATAGTACTAGATAATTAAAGTGATGATTTCATCATACAATAACAAAATCTGTAATTATTTTTGTGTGTAAATAAAAACATACTTGAGAGCTTCAATGGGTCAGGAGCGGTTAAGTGGTCTTGCAATGTACATTTTGAGTACATTTTCCACATTGTATGTTCTGTACTGTGCCAGTAAGTTTAATACTGCGCTATTTATTTGTATTTTTTTTATTTTTTTATTTTTTCACATGTTGCACACTTCTGGCTTTTGCACAAATCTGAGTAATTCTCAGATCAATAAAGTCTATCTCATCTTATTGTGTGTGAAAAGTTCAAATGTTATTTTATCTGGTTGTGTTGAATCATTTAATAAATGATTCAACACAACATGCTAAACATGTTTTTTTCCGGCTGTTGTCTTATATTGACTGATTAGTGTGAATGATTGCTTTAATTTTTACTGTTTCTTGAGTTAGGTGTAGGGCCCCTATGCTGACTTCTGCTTAGGGCCCCAACAAGGCAAGCACCAGCTCTGTGTACGGTGGGCTGTAGTACCCGTGCGGTGGGCTGCAGTACCTGTATGGTGGGCTGTAGTACCTGTATGTACCTGTATGGTGGGCTGTAGTACCTGTATGTACCTGTATGGTGGGCTGTAGTACCTGTATGTACCTGTATGGTGGGCTGTAGTACCTGTATGTACCTGTATGGTGGGCTGTAGTACCTGTATGTACCTGTATGGTGGGCTGTAGTACCTGTATGTACCTGTATGGTGGGCTGTAGTACCTGTGCGGTGGGCTGTAGTACCTGTGCGGTGGGCTGTAGTACCTGTGCGGTGGGCTGTAGTACCTGTGCGGTGGGCTGTAGTACCTGTATGGTGGGCTGTAGTACCTGTATGTACCTGTATGGTGGGCTGTAGTACCTGTATGTACCTGTATGGTGGGCTGTAGTACCTGTATGTACCTGTATGGTGGGCTGTAGTACCTGTATGTACCTGTATGGTGGGCTGTAGTACCTGTATGTACCTGTATGGTGGGCTGTAGTACCTGTATGTACCTGTATGGTGGGCTGTAGTACCTGTGCGGTGGGCTGTAGTACCTGTGCGGTGGGCTGTAGTACCTGTGCGGTGGGCTGTAGTACCTGTGCGGTGGGCTGTAGTACCTGTGCGGTGGGCTGTAGTACCTGTGCGGTGGGCTGTAGTACCTGTGCGGTGGGCTGTAGTACCTGTGCGGTGGGCTGTAGTACCTGTGCGGTGGGCTGTAGTACCTGTGCGGTGGGCTGTAGTACCTGTGCGGTGGGCTGTAGTACCTGTATGGTGGGCTGTAGTACCTTTATGGTGGGCTGTAGTACCTGTATGGTGGGCTGTAGTACCTGTATGGTGGGCTGTAGTACCTGTATGGTGGGTTGTGAGGTGTAGTGCCAGACTTTTACGGGTCGTCCACACACTCTCGGCTGGACATTTCCGTTGTAAAACTTTGCCATGGCCACAGCCTCCTCCTCTTTGGTGAACTGCAGGTAAGCCTTGGGAGACAAGAAGATCAGTAAAAACATTGTTAAAAACGCTCAAATTGTGAAATTCTATATTTAAGTTCAGTGCGGACGGCCTAGGAGTTTGTGTCTCTAGTGTTCTTTTCAGAGAGGGAGTCTCCCTTATCTCAACTGACCGGAGATGAGACCGGACCAGACCAAACCTCTCCGGTTTTACCATATATGGAGCAAAAATGACATCTTTAGCAGCCCCTTCCTCTACTTCTACACATTTTCATAAAACTTATCAGTCAGTCAGAGTACCTGGGAGTCCTCCATTAGTTTTCAGGCCTGGAGGGACCGTTTTTGGCTCAGCTCATAGGGATAGTTAGGGAAATAGTAGCTCAGAGAGTTTTGTATTAGTATTTAATTGCAAAGAGGATTAAATATTATCATTCTGAACTCTTGAATGTCTTTTCTGGAGTATAGAATTAAATTTAAAATCCTTCTTTTAACATACAAAGCCATAAATGATATGCTCCCTACCACCTAAAAGACCGGTTAGTATTAAATCAACCAAACAGAGCACTGCCCTCGCAAAACGCCAGACGTCTGTTGGTTGGAGTCAAAAAGTACAGTTGGAGGCAGAGCGTTTATGGACGCTCCTATTCTGTATCCAAGCTGCATATGGACCCAGTATGGTAACTTGAGCACTATCCTCTCCTCTTTCCTTACTTTACCTGTCATTATTATGACCTCAGCTGTAGTCTGTTCATTACTATTTATCCGTTGTCCCATTTGTCTGTTTCATGATGTGACGATAAAACCCCTACCATAATTTCTAATCTGTGTTGGCGAATCAACAACTCAACTTTGTTGAGTCCTCCGAGATAACAACTATTGAGATTTGGGGCTATACAAAAATGATTGGATTTGAATTACCAAAGTAAATAGATGCAGGTACAACTCGTAAACGATATTCTACTTTTTAAAGTCAATATTCTTCTGCTGTGTCTGCTGCCGGGTTGCGGGTGTGATGTCCCTAAAAAGGAGCAGTAGTGTTTGTGAGAGCACCTTGCGCTGCTGGTCCATGATGAGGTGGCTCTCCACTTTGCCGAAGGGTTGGGCCAGCTGCATGAGCTCGTTCAGAAAATTGTATCCTTTTCTGAAGCCCATCACGAGCACCACACGCATTCCCTGCATCACAACATGATGAGAGCTCCAGAAACACACACAGACACAAGACACACATGAGCTGCACTTACCCCTGTGTTAGAACTATCTGCAACAAAAACACACTACATTAGACTCTCGTGGCACTATGAATGACACTCACTGACTAAATGAGCTTTTACCTGGAGCCTCGGCCTCATCCTCCTCCAGTTCATCCACCACCACCATGTCCTCCATGTTTTCCAGACAGAAATCCTGGAAACAAAACATTCTCACAATCAACTTCATGGACGTTTCACAATCTGGGAGGGAGACCATTCTCAAAAACAGTGCAACAGTAACTCATACTGTGAACTCCAATGAAGAATCACAACATGAGACTTGGCTCATGTCGTGATTCTACATTGGATAAAAATGTCTATAAATGTTTCTTACATTTATTTCTGTCACTGATTTGGTAAGTGAATAGTCTATTCAGAGATTCTGCAGTTTCATTTACCTTAATTATGAAATAAATCACATTCATTTCTAACGGGTGGATGAGCTGTGTGGAAGGACTCAGAGTGGCAGAGCAAAGCAGCACATGCACCAGTCAATGTAGAAATATCATTCAAACTTTTAGTCATGAAATACATGTACTTCCAGCCACAGATATGATAATAGGAATTGTACTTGTGGTCATTTCTAACTGATTGTTATGCACATGGGTGACATTACTTCATCATCATCATCATCTTCTTTCGCGCTCTCCTCAGCATCGGCCATGATGCCGTCTTTACTCTCCTCAGTCTCCGCATCCTGCTTCACTTCTCCAGCTTCGTCCACTTCCTCAGTCATGTCCTCAGGACCCACATCGGGCCCCTGCCGCACAAACATGAACACAATCTTTAATGTACGTGTTTGTGCGAGCCTGTGAAAGGCACACTGCATCTCGGTCCACTCGTGAATGAAGTTTCCAGCACAAAGAACAATAATCTTTTGTGTTGGCCATAAGTGCCATATGGAGACCGTGCCAGACCTTTTGGCAACACATGGTGTCTGCGGAGAGGCGGCCACATGACGGTCAGAAAGTGTTCCTTTCCCCTCTCTCCAACTCCCTGCGGCAGGAACGCTTACACCGGGCATGTCAAAGTCAAATACATCAGAAGGCCATTAACACAAATTTGCTGCGAGCCCAGGGCCGGAGTGGTTCAATGTTTATTAACATCCAGCCATGCTGGCTCGATAAAATATGCTCTAAAGCTAATCCCCATACATATTAGATATCTGAGACGTCTGAGAACATGAAAATAGTGAACAACGGGATTGACGTATTAATGCTGCGAGCACCTAAACACAACGCAGGCAGTATCCGGTAGTTGTTGCAGACTTAAGTATAATATGTTGAATCGAGTTTTCCACACTCACCTTTTGTTCTGGCTCTTTCTCATTTTCAATCTGCTCCAGATTAGTGCTCGAAGCCTCGTCTTTCTGGCTGCTCTCTTCTTTCTCCGCTTCTACTGGAGGTTCTGCTTTAAACTCCACTTTGGACTCTGCTTTCAAGTCCACAGCCTCTGCTTTCGACTGGGCCTTGGACTCCACCTTAGGCTCTGCTTTCGACTGGGCCTTGGACTCCACCTTAGGCTCTGCTTTCGACTGGGCCTTGGACTCCACCTTAGGCTCTGCTTTCGACTGGGCCTTGGACTCCACCTTAGGCTCTGCTTTCGACTGGGCCTTGGACTCCACCTTAGGCTCTGCTTTCGACTGGGCCTTGGACTCCACCTTAGGCTCTGCTTTCGACTGGGCCTTGGACTCCACCTTAGGCTCTGCTTTCGACTGGGCTTTGGACTTGGCTTTGGACTCCACTTTGGGCTCTGACTTTGGCTTTGGTTTAGATTCAGATTTGGACCTGGAACGCTCTTCCCTTTTGCGATCCTCTCTGCTTCTATATGGGAGAAAATATGATATACATCTTATTCAGGACTCATTATTGGAGGTGTAGGAAGTAGTATTTCAGATAAAATAAGAACCTTGCTCTAGGACTTTGACTTCTCTTCTGTCTGTCTAAGGAGCGTCTAGGACTCGAGGCGCCTGATCTTTCCCTCCGCGGAGCTTGGGAACCAGGACTCTTTGAGTTGTTTGACTGCACGCTGAAGACAAAACAGTTCAGATACAGAGTTGATATTTCACAGTCTGAGAAGGGTTCAGTGTAGCTGCAGCTACAGCCACGGGTTCAAACAAAGTTTTACATTTGTTAGCAGACCAAAAGTTTTGTTCAAGAACCACGTTTACAAAATATATGAAGTATGTGTGTTCATTCTGGCCTGTACGCAAGATCTTTATAAAATTCACTTTGGTGCAAGGAGCATTAGTACTTTGTATTAGCGTTAGGTCTCGCTTTTCTCAGTTGTCAGATAAGATAAGATCGACTTTCTTGATTTCACACTGGATAAATTTACATGTCACATTTGGCATAGATAGAATCACTCAGATTGTGAAAAAGACAGAAGTGTGCAAAATTTTTAGGTAAAAAATATAGTCCGTGCAGGATAAAATTATGAAATAAAAAAATAAGATTAACCTAAGATAAAGAACTATGGCTTGCATCCGACATGCGTGTGCATTCCTTCATTTGGACTTTTTTGTTGATTATTTTAACTTATTTTGAAGAACGGGTAAACAACACGCTGTACACTCTGTTATAAACTCTTGTCGTTTGCATCCAGCTGAGCGGACCAAAAGCCAAAGGCACAATCGAAGTGTCCCCTTCAAAAAAATGCTACAGGAAAATGCTCCGTGAACACAAATGGAAGTTTCTTTGAGAGGTAGAGTAGGTAGAATTCTCCAAGCAATAGTGCTTTGAATCACCAACAGCATGATGGTGTGCATCTTTTCAGTTTTATTTCAAAGTGGGTCCTTCCTGTAATCAACAATATTGTGTTCACACATTTACGGTCCGCATGACTCCAATGGGTCGCAACCAAGACAACAATCTCCTTCTGGTGGCACTCACCCACCCACTGGTGTGTAACAAAGCAGACTTTGGACCTTGGTCTGAGTTTGAGAAGCACTGGTCTGATTGAGTCTGATTGTGTGTGATAATGTGGATGGAGCAAACAACCCTCCAGTTTCATCTTTGATGAGGGACTATGTTGTGTCACAGTTGAAACATTAAAGAAGCTATACCCAATTTTTTTTCTAAGTAGTTCATAAAAATGCTTTTTACTACATACAAGTTGCATCATAATACATAATTTAATTGAAAACTTGAGGTCATTGATTCAGCGGTGTATGAATTACAAGCAGTGAAAAGTGCTGAGTAGAGTCTTAGCGGGACGCTCTTTCTCCTCCGCTCACAGAACGAGCAGCGAACAGCCTGCGTCCTCTAGCCTCTACAGCGCTGCTTAACACCAGGGCTTCAACTTCAAAATTCAAATATAATTATAAAATAAAAAATATATATTCGAACAAATATTAGACAGCCCTTATAATTCGAAATGTATTTAATGACTCCAAATAAAATAGTTAGCTCCCAAAGGTTTAACCGGGACGTGCTGGGCAGGTAACAGCTAAGCTAGCGATCTGTTTCATGGTAACTTCCGGGTTTTTCGCGATCGCTTTTTGTCACTTTAAAACAGTATTTTTGTCATGAAAACGTTGACAGCAAATTCTGAAAAGACACAGACAAGTGTGCAGAGAAACTGCACAGTGTAGTGACAGGCGCTGAAGGCTTGCTGTACTTTCAGAGTAATGGCAGTATTTTACACACCTAAATTACAAACAGAGATTGCATTGGGGCGTCGGTCATTATTGGTTTGAGAGTTCTGTTATCAAGAAAAAATGATCGGAAGAATTGCATTCAAGTCAATGGAGTGTTCTGCTGCTGTGAGGAGCTATATAATAAATTATAATTAAATATTAGAATATATTCTAATGTTTAAATTAATACATTCGGACGCGAAACAAGCGGTATTCTTTTACTTATATATTGTGTTAGCAGTGTGTTGCTTTAGTACCATTTCATCAGTGATTGTTGCACAGCTTACAAGAAGTTGCGCCAATGCTAATGTTAGCATATGTATCAGATCACAAATAAAACTAGGTGGCTCCGTGGGATGAGAGCGTAGGGGAAATGAGAAGCCTGTGAGCGAGTTGGGGGTGGTGCTAAACATTCAAACATTGCAGAAACGGGTATATCGCCTTTAACTACTTCTCATAATGTGTGTACATAAGTTTGTGTGAGATCACAACAGGCCCGACAGCTCTGACAGAAACAGTGTGAAGAGCCTTTCCATCAGGAGCACTCACTTGAGGGTCTTGTACTTGGTGCACACGTTGCAGCGGGCTGGCTTCCCTCTGATCTCCAAGGGGTTAATGGTGTAGTATTTTGCCATCATCTCTGCTTCCCGAGGAGTTGACAGTTGAATGAAGCCCTGAGCACAAAGATGTATACATCACGTTATTATCTAAGACATTCTTCTGATATTGAAAGTTCTGTTTAGGAAACTCCACAAACTTCAAACCAAAAACAGCAAGCTCATATAGTCACACCTTCAGAATGTGTAGAGTTCAGCAACAAATATAAAAACTGGATTTACAGTATCTAACACATACAGCTCAAATTGTACTGTATGTCAAAGCAGCATGCAAGTGGTAGTGGTGGAGGAAAAAAACTATTTTCAGTATTGCAATATTTTTTGCAGGCAATTAAAATTGATACACTCGAGCATGCGAGCTTTAAAAAAATGTTTTCTCCGAGTTCACTCTGGTAATTTACATCTGAGGTTTATGTTACTCTTATGTCTGCTTTTTGTGACTAGTCGACTATTTGAATAATGTAAGTGAGGTGCTGAGATGTCACCGTTCATGTGAGAGAGCGACTAGTCAGACAATAAAAATGCCTTGTTTGTAATAAGGTCCTGTGTCCTGAAGTTTTTGCATAACCCACCAAAGTGTTTGGTTAATGTGGAACCCATAATAAATTTGACATTTGAGTTGAGCAGTCTTAGTGCTCATACAAATTCCCTCAAGGCATGTGTGTTTTTGTCTCCCCATGTCTGCAGGCACCGCTCTTATCTACTGACCTCTCCACATTCCACTACTCAAGACCAAGGATGGACTCTCTCTCTCAAAACTCAGACTCTCAGTTCACCAGCTGCCTCTCTCTCTTTCAGTCTATGGTCTATCCCCCCACCCTCACCTCTGACACAACACATTGGACGAGGCTGGTCAGAGGAATGTCCCATTAAAAAGAGCTGCATGTTTTCTGCATGTACTGTGTCTTTCCAAACAATATCTGCTTGAAATAAATGTTTGTTTGCTCTCTGCTGTTGAATAACTGTCATAGGAGCGCAATATTACGCAGCCAGCCATGAGGTTTATTAATCGAACCTGAATTTCTCCATTATGAGATCAAAGAACTATATCTCATCTCATTATTTTCCTCCATTTGTGTAATGCGTTTGAATAATATGAGCAGCATGAATCTCAATTTATTGCAGAATCTAATTGCAAAACATGCTGTATTGCAATATGCTAAGAATCACAATAATATTAGAATTGTGGCCCAAATATTGCAATACAATTAAATCATCACATTTTTGCCAATTTCTGCCCCTACTTAGTGGTGACTTTTCTACTCACCTCTCTCTGCAGGAACAGGTGCTTTTGGACGGTTCCAAACCTCCCGGCGATGGTGAGCAGGTCGTTCTTCTCCTCCTCCTTCAGAGGCAGGTTGGAGAAGTACAGCACTTGGCTGTTGGTGGAGGGGTCTTCTCGAATGCGAGGAATGTTGCGTGGCGCTGGCTTCGGGGGCGGTTGAGAGCCCCCCATCTGCTTCTGTGCACAGGGGCAGATGCAACAACTGCTTAGACTTCACTTAAGGAAGAAATATTACGCATTTTTCAAGAGATAATTTACTTTGTATATGCATTTTTAGAAGGTGAAAACATATCTTCAGTAGTGTACAAAATCTCCTCTTTTTTCCCACATTATAATTTAGCCCAGTTATATTAGAACTTAAGAATTGTTGACCAATGGAAATCTAAAAGGCAAAAAGCAAAAAATAAAAGTACATACATTTTTAAGTTGATTTTGCATAATAAAGGAAACAAGCCAATGCTGTTTCTCTGTCCAGGGTCGGAGCACGGCAGATGGCTCCATTCATGCATAAAAACACGTGTATGTAGGCCTGTCGCAATATTCAATAAATCAATTAATCGCATGATAATTAAAACTAGCTAGATAGTTTTCCTGGCCGCGATGAATTCCATTTGCATGCTTGTTTGTTTTTCCGTCTCTCTCTCCCTCTTGGGTCAGAGAGCAGACTGAAATAAATCAGAATACAGATTACAGCCAAAACAGGACCTAAACCAGGACTAAACCAGGACTTAACCAGGACTGACAACGGGGGACACAGTAGTTGTTCTCATTCAGGCTCTAGTAGTGACTAAACTAGCACAGTTAGCATTAGTGTGTTCGCCGATGCAGAAGTACCATTTAATAATAAAATAAACTTATGATGCACCTCCGTGAACACATACTGCTGTTTATATAAAGTCTCTGGAAGGTCTCAGGACAAAGAGACGCTGCAGAGCTGCATTATTGGCAAGAACTTTACACAAAAAGCCGCTGGCGGCTTTTTTACTTCCGCCACTTCCGGCGGTGGTCTTTAAAAATAAAAGTGTATTTCTCTTTGAAAAGGTGTACCTGCATCATTATCATTGTATTAGATGAAAATGATCTCAGAACAACAATACTAGCGCCTATCGCAATAATTGCTGAGACAATTAATCGTCCAGCAAAATTTGTAATCGTGACAGGCCTACGTGTATGAACCAGATGCATACCTCGATGAAGACCCGCTTGGAGAGCACGAACACCAGGCGTCGTCCTCCCAGAGACGCAGGGTTCTGCTGGTAATAGTTGACCACATCCAGAGCCTGGTCAGCGTTGCTCATCTCCAGGAAGCCCTGAAGCCAAAGGAAGATGCATCACTGCTGGAGGCTTTCAGGACTATGTTTGGATCCAGTTAGAACTCCCAGATCAGTCAATTATTACGGATTTCAGCTCCTGTCGGTCTTCATAATTTTGTGACTTTTTCTGATTCTATATGTAGTTTATGTCTTTTTAATTAAATGTGTTTAAAATGTGAGCAGTTCTACCTTTAACTAAACAAAAATAATCAAAAAAGACATTTTCAGTTTCTTGGTAACTAGAAACATTCTTTAAAGGTTTTTGGTCCTGGAATGGAACGCATTGTTTACTCGCTGCAGTTAGCATTTGGTCACCTTTCAGTCAACTGTTTTTTTATTCTGTATTTCAGTTATTGTCACCGGTTTTAGCACTTATTAAAAGTGACTGAAGGTTAAGACTGAAAGGAAATAAAACTGACTGAAAACTCCCGGGAAATGTTTTTGGGGGAATTTCTCAAAATCCTATTGGTTTGAATGGGAGCAGTCAAAATGACGGCTCTGGGAGTTCAAGTAGTTTCACAATTCTGGGAGTCCGAGTTTTCACATGTGTTCATGTAAATATGCCAGATTTAGCCAAGACTGATCATTTCCTGTCGCCTGGCAGGTTGATTTTACAGCCATCAACAAACAGCAACAGTTATTAAAGGCCTCATACATAGATATAAAAAGCAGGTTGGTACAAGAGGAAAAGTCGTTACCTTGTTCTTGAGAAGCAGGTGCTCTTTCAGTTGTCCAAAAGGCTTGACAAAGTTAAAAAGAGACTGGTTGCTGAGAGGTTTCCGCTCGTACATCACCTCCACCACTCTGACTCTCTAAATGTGAGTAAACAAAATGAATTCAATACTATTACATAAATAAACCTAATTGGGAATTGAGCTTCATTCTTTTAAATGGGGTCTGACTGATGCGGGGACTGATGAGGCTAATTTACATAATAAATAATGATAATCAATAGTGGGACAAACATATTGTAATAATAATAATCTTATGGCAAACCTCTGATGGCTAAAAAAACATCTACACATTGAGATCACATGCGTCACTTTACATGTGTGCATTCGTTTCTACTGTTCTGTAACTTGTGGTGCAACACTGAAATTTCCCCACTGTGGGACAAATAAAGGATCGCTTAATCTTAATCATAAACCTAACTAAGATGACTGTTTTATGATTTGATTATTGACCCTTAGAAATGTGTTAGACGGAAAAGAAAAAGATTGCTTCTGTTATAGAAATATTTTAGTAAAGCAATCTGAATTAACACTAAATAGTTATGAGCGTAAGTTATTAACTAATAGTCAACTCTGGATTCAGATACAGGCCATAATGCTCTGTTGGCTCAGGTCAGTGATAGATGGAGACATGTTTCTACATGTCTTTGACCTCATCTGGGTCATAGAACAATAATATGTTCAGGCCAAATCAGATTATGACCTATATCAGTGATATATCAGCGTAAGAAAGCGTAAAGAGAAGCCTTGAGCAACACATATCAATACTGACTTCATCTCTGTAATATCTAGAGAAGATATGTGTTTGTTTACTCTGGTCTATTTAATGTCCAGTCATTTCCTCATTTGTGGCAGTTGGTTTCAGACGGCTGCCCGGTGGTATTGGTATCGGTTCTGTTATTCGTTGTAATTGTGCACATTTACTAATGAATAAACTCACACTTTGATTGTTTTATAGCTCTGGGTTGTTTACATTATTTTACTCTTGGTATGATCAGGACACTTTAGCATTCTACAACATGTATGGACATTTTCTTCTGTGTGTGCTTTATACTGTATTCTTCATGTGTTTTAACTGTTGATTCTCTGACCTGTGTTGGTGATTTCAATGGTTTTGTTAAGTCCTCTGAGATGACTTCTGTTGTGACCTAGGGCTATACAAGAATAAATTGTATTGTATTGTATTGTATGTGCAGAATTTCCACAACACGTCTTTCCTCAAACTGTTTTCAGTCAATATCTTTTCCTTCTCCTGAATCGGATACTGACCGGTTTGGGTCCCATTGCATCCCGCTCTGACATTCCAGAACCTCCGCCTGAAACAAAAAAGGGGGTTAACAATGGACCGTGTATGGATTATCAATATATGGAAATATAAGTATTAATATCTGTTTAGTATATAAAAGAATAAGCAAAAGCCGTGTGATCATAAAAAACATATCCATCATTAATTTGACATTTTATGATAAAGAGTAAGTTTAGTTTGGTTCCCTCTGCTCTGCTTCTTATTAAAAAGAACCAAACATTAGCTCTGAGGGAATGGCAGGTTTTGTATTCCCATTTGGATCTGAACCTTAAGGTACCGTGTCTGACCTGGCAGAGGTCATATTTACACATAAGAAGCAGAGGGCCTTACCCCAGTTGGAAGACATTCCTGAAGAGTGACCGGACATGGGAGCAGGTCCCAGGATCCCAGCCGAGAGGTTGGGAGCATCCATGCCCCCACTGTGGACAGAACAACTGTTAGAACACAACTATCACTCGTCTATTGTATTGTCCATGAATCAAATGGGGTGCTCACCTTCTATTGGAGGCCATGGGGGGCTCCCAGTCCGGATACCTGTAACACGGAGGAAACAGAGTTTACTGGAAGGTCTTGAAAGGTTTCCAAGGTCTTGAAAAACACACAAAATTGAAGGGAATAATGATATTCAAAATGTTTGCGAGCATTGTACTGAATGAGGCGAGTAATTTTTAGAATTAACAAAAATGTAATGTAATTGTAAACAATCCAAACATGGCATAATCTAACTAGCAGAAAACGGCTCTACGTTATACTCTGAGGATGTCAGATTGTAGCAACTTGGAAAACCGTACACAGAAGGGGCAGTGGCTCTGGTGCTCATTCGTACTTACTGTAGTTATTGATATTAGTGTGAGTAGAAGTAAAAAAACAACTTCAGGTCTATTTTTTTAAGTCTGAATATTTTTAATGTGGAACAATGTTGGAACATTTAAGGTGACAGATTAAAAACGCCCATGTCTATATAGGAACACTCACAAGTTAAGCAGCATTCTTCTGTTCTCAGCATGGCGGAGGCTGTTCACGTGCTGGTTCCACTCCTGAGACACAACAACTGCTATCAAGTTTCTGAGTGAAGTATAGCAACATAAATCTACTCAAATTGCTATAACATTATTCCAGTCCTTTTACCTGCTTTGTCTTCCAAGACAGAAACCCAGACATAGCTTGAGACCTTTAATAAATGTTCTTCAACCTACTGCAAAAGTTCTTTTTGCATCAACACTCATGAAGAGGTTTTCCAACTTTATTTGCGAGCCTGCTCTCATTAAGGCTCATTTCCAGTGCAATGACAAATGAATGACAAGCTATACTTAAAACTGGAGAAATAAGAGTTTGAGACTCTTCATGGAGAAACATGGCACGTCCAAAAGGTCTGCTAAATGTTGTCTATTATAACAGTTATGCTTAAAAGTTTAAACATGTTTTTGTGTGTTTTATCAATTAGTGGTTGTGTGAGGATATGTCTTTAAATAAACAAAACTTCCAACTTTCATATAAAACTTTCAAAATAAATGTGTTGTTGACCCAATTCTGTTGTTTATGATTATCTATGACCCCTCCCTTTTTAGAACATGGTTCATCGTTTAGAATAAACTAAAATGCTGTTATAAAAATAAGTAACGTAGCTCGTCCAATCCCCTTGTGCTCCTTAAGCCCCGCCGCATTATCAGAGCATCAGGGAAACTGATGACAATTTATTTTCCCTTTGAGCAAAAATGACTGAGAGACAGCGAATGACTTTTCACAGATTCAGGAAAAAACCTAAACACGCATGAACCGCAACAAAAACACCTGTGAGTGTAAATGACTGAGAAAAGTAGATTGACAACTCAAAACAAAATGGCAATAGAGCACAGACTCACATTATCTGACATACAATACCTTGTTAGTACAGGTATTGTAAGTAATTTAAGTGTAGTTTGTGACCAGGGCTGTTAAATAGAAGTGCCCCTTATGGACACTGGGGAACAGGAGCACAGGTGACATGCAGGAGATGGTCACTGTTACTACACCCGCACTTCAGTAGAATGATACACTGGACTCGACAGCTTCCAAACGACAGACATCCATGGACATGTTCCGTCCACAGCTCAGTCTGATAATATGCTTCTCCAAAGTTCTCCCTGGTAGACAAAGATCTGATAGAAGAGTGGAGGCCGGAAGCACAGTAGGACTAAACGACCCCAAAGTCTGAGAGAAATAGGTGGCAAGGCTTCATAATAGAAAATAATTCTTCCAGACAAGAAGACCAATGAATGTATGAATTTAAATAAAGTTAAAATGTCACAAATGTCACAAATCGAAACAAAGAGTTGAGATCAATTCATAGACAAAATATTAGGACATTCACAATGACATTTGCAGGAGAGTTTTTGGAGAATAACTCAGACGTACATCCATGTGACTGTTGTGTGGATGGAAGCTAAAACATGATTTGTAAATTATGTACTCTGCAATGTGGTAAGGGAAAGTGAAAAAGGAATTGAAAAGCCAGAAGAAAGTTGTGAAATTAGAAACGAGAGATGTTGGAAACCACTTCGGTAAAGTTGGGTGTTTGGTCTGAAGCGGCAGGTGAACCAAAAGGATATTTTCCAGAGATCAAGCCTTTAATACCTTTAGTCAAAACGCATTCTCGGGGATGGCATGCTAATTAAACAAATGCAAGGCCACTACTAACACAATGACCATCATAAACTATTGTAAATTGTCATTATTAAAAGGAAAAAAACTCTTTCCACTATTGCAAAGAACAATTGACAGACAAACATTGAGCCACTTATTATATTGTACTGCTCTTTATTCAAAGAAATGTACATATGGTAATGGTGCCCAGCTGAGTGCAAGTATTTCACTATTAGGGACTTGTAGGCTATGAAAGACCTAAAGAGACTTGAGGTTAAGTTCTAAAACCCAAAATGAATACTATGGAACAGGGGTTTCCACAGGTAAGAAAAGCACTGAAGATTTGAACAGAAGTGGTGACGTAGTGGAAGGTGCCGTGAGGAGGTACTCACCATAATGGAGTGAACGTCAAAGTCACACAGCACGCACACGTGTGGGAACCGGGCTGGATTGAGTCCCAGGAAGTCCTCCACTTTCTCCTGAGCGGGCTGCATGTACGCCGCAGAGCTAGAGGAGGGCGCCATGCCAAAGTCATGACGAGACTGGGAGAAGTTTCCAGAGCCAAAGCTTCGACCAAAGTCATGACTCTGACCTGAGTCCTGGTATCATCATTTAAAGAGGTTCAAACGAGAGGAAAGAGTGATGTTAAGTTGACTGCCAAGGAGCCAACTACGGATACATGTAGGTATTCCAATTCAATTCATTTCAGCTGCACTTCCACAGGGACAGCCGGCAGGTTCTGACTGGAGAGTTTCCCCATACATATGCAGAAGTACTAAAGCTTTGTTAGATTTTCAAGGGTAGTTACACATGCACTACAGTGGACAGCGCCACTTCTTTTCCACTGCTTAGAAGCCCCACATTTCTGAACACATCAGATAAGTATAAAGATTAGGGGTGTGACGATATATCGCGATACTTTCTCCCGGGATTCGAATATCGATATGCATTTGCCAAGTATCAAAATCGATTTTGAAAAAAAAAAAAAATTATTAAATTGGTATCAATACTTAATATATGGCTACATTGCGCATTTCCATTCCATTTATCATGAAATAAAGTGTATTTTGTCTTTTATTTATGCCATAAATTGGCATATTGTATATTTCTGACCAATATATCAATAATCGTCATATCGTGATAAAATCGTTATCGTGAGCTTTGTATCGTGTATCGTATCGTGAGGTACCCTTGGGTTCCCACCCTAATATAGATGTAACAATTTTTTGCATTGAAAAACAGATGAAAAGGGATTTGATATGTGAGGTTTCACATCAAATCTGTAAACCTTTCAAATTTAGAAAATACTATTTAAGTTGTTTTTTCACAAACCCCTAAAGCCCATTGATCAGTTTAAAGTGTGTTGGCAGTGGAGGAGCTGCATTATGTGAGACAGCCGGGTCAAAGACATTGTGGACCTGGACAGGTCTCAAAGCTTTATCCTGCCCACCTCCCGTCTTCATTAGGTGGATCACAACTCAAGATAAATATAGTATCACTTTGACTTTCATTGTTCTATCCATTTACATTAGTCTCTTCATACAAAAATAAACCCCAGTATTTTTTCAATAAAATTTACAAAAAAGTCATCCAACAGTGCGCAGGCCAAGTGGAAATGCAGCTGAAATGGCCTTAAGCTGCTCGTGCCCTTTAGCGGCCCAGGATATCATCTCATACCTGTCTGAAAGAGTACTCCCGGTCTGATGGCCCCTCCCTGCTTCTTGGTTCATCCCATTCTGGAAAGCTCTCCTGTTTCTTGCGGTTCTTGAGCTGCCTCAAAATGTGGGGAAGAGTCTCGACAGAGATCTGATCTTCTGGGATCTGAGCCAATGCATCTAGATCCGAAGGGGATAAGCCAAGGCTGGAGAAGAGTTTCATTGAAGTGCTGCTCAGGTGTTCCTCAGAACTCACCTGAGGTCGATCCATTCTATGCTCTTGGCCACGGCCACCACTGCCCCCTGAAGACATGCCCCCAGAGCTGAAGTTTAACATTTTAGCTGCATTTAGTAAACCGTGACCCGCAGAAAAGCCGCCTTGTTTTTGTGCCATCAGAGAGTTCAACTACAGGGGTCAAAAGCCTTTGGCAGCTTTGTAAAAAGAAGTTGTAATGTCTTAAAGATTGAGTCTATGTTAATGCGATACGAGCAAAGTCCTCTTCTTCTTTTAAAGATGCTCACTTGATGCTGAAACACAACGAAGACAATAATAGAAGAGCCATTTCAGAACATATAAAGTGCTGGACACTAGGAGTTGGCAGAGAGCAAGACTTGCCATTATACTTGCACAGTGAATTAGAAAGTATTTTTCAAGAACTCTAGCAAACAGCAGTAGTGTCTGTGTTCCAGATTTCAAAGTCTACAAAGGGCTGTGGCGACCAAGCCCAGAACAACCTCAAAAAGGAAAGTTCCAACTACAGAAATACAAGTTCAAATAAGTGACATTAGCCTGTCCAAGCCAGAGTAACCAGCCTAAACACCACCTCATGTAAATAAACTACAGATGTTGTCCATAGAATACATGGATTCAAAATCAACTTTGAGTAAGTGACACTAGACGCTGTTAATTGGAGGATGAAATTATAAAGCCGTTGTTATCTCAGGATAAAGGGCTGACTGGACAGGCTAGCCACAAAGTGGGAAGACTTTTGTGAAAAAGATTACTGGTCATATGCAGTTCCACAGGATGAGCAATATGATGATTTGGAAGAAAGGTTTCTAAGATGCAGACAATGATTAAATAAAACATTTAGGTAATATTTCATCTTTGAACGTACATTCTGTCAACATTGCTCATAAATTTATGGTGAAGCAAATAGAAATGACATAAATATTATATGTATTATTATTAATCTTTATTGAAAAGTCAGTGAAGAGAGACAAGTGTTCTGCACCAGATTAAAGATAGATTACATCTTTCCATCTGCAGTCGCTGAAAAGCACAGCTTTCTTACCAAACCGCAATGTTCTTAACAGAATGAAAAAGACAAAAATGTCAAGTTTACATCAGCTTGTGGACTCCAGGGTCTTCAAAGAACTTCAAAAGGCTGCAAAAGTATCAAAAGTTACGTGGTAAAGGTTGTAGGCGCAGCAGTGGAGGTGAAGCAGTTATTTTAGCTCTGGAATCCTCAACACAACGATGAGAGACAGGCCCAGAGAAAAAGCTAGGCGCAAATCTTAGCTTAGATAAGGTGAGCTGCAGAAAGGCAATGATACCATTATGAGTATTATGAAAATACACTTACAAGTACAATATTCCTAGATGCACACTTTGCCAAAGTAATGAGGCGCATTTATCTGAAATAGATATTCGGGGTGTTTTCTGCAGATTCGATTGAGTTTGTATCATTAGCAGTTAGCCACATGCTAACAGTCTGCACATTTCACCTTGTTGCGAGTCCAACAGAAGGATTGGTCCTGGTTCATAAAGCACAAAGAGACACTGGCAGTGGCTGGTTACATATGGAAAGACTTACCTGTGCTTGTGGTACCGTCAGACAGTGTGTAATTGTGGCGGAGTACAGAGTACAGGAGCGGAGCAGTGGCGTGATCCGAAACCAATACTGCCGGAAGTGAACGTAACAGCGTCACCTGCTGTCCGGGTCTGGGACTGCATGTATGGACTGCATACCGTTCAGAACAAAAGCTAAATCTCGTTTTCATTTACCATTGTGGCATTACGCCGAAGTGGATGGGATTTAAAAGGTCTAAACATGTCTTTGGCACGGTGGCTGAGTGGATAGCACTCACGCTTCTCAGCAAGAAGGGCCTTTCTGAGTGGAGTTTGCATGTTCTCCCCGTGTCTCCCTGTAGGTTTCCTCCAGATGCTCCGGTTTCCCCTACCACTAAAAACATGCACAATAGGTATGAATGTAAATGAGAGAGTGAATGGATGGTGTTGATTGGAGGCTTTGATGCGCCAGTGTGTTTGAGTTTCACTTCTGTCATCACCTTGTGTGGAATGATTGGAACAATATCTGAAGTCTGAACACTGTGACGCGCTTTGGGTGACCCTGGTCTGTAAAATGTGCTATATAAATAAACATTTCTTTCTTACTTTGATTTCCCTTGATTAAATATGGTGGCAGAGTGTCAAAAGTGCACTCATTCATTGTATTAATTGTCACTGGGTTGTATCTATCTGCTTTATGGATTTCCGTCTTTGGGCTGGTTCCTGGGTTCTCATGAAAACCCTCTGATCCAGTCAAATGTGCCTAAACTTGCCTTCCAAAACCAGATCCCCTCAGACCTCTGAAGCTGTGCAGGGCAGGGCCTGGTCAGTACTGAGATGGGAATCCTCTGGGAACATGTTGTATGACCTGATGTTGTGTCTTTAGGCAAGACACATCACCCACACTGCCCAGAATGAGTCGTGCGTGTGAATGGTTGGTGGCTGCCTTGTGCCGATGGCAGAGAGGTGTGCCGATGGCACAGGGCAGCTGTGGCTACAGCAGTTTATCACTACCGTGTATGGAGTGAGATAATAATAACTTGTGAAGCATCTTTGAATGTCCAGAAAGGCGCCATTTAAAACCAATGCACTATTGTTATTATTATAGATGGGACGATTCTTCCTTGTTGTCCACCTGATGTTCAAGTTTGTTCAATTACATTATATTACATTTTAATAAATTGCCTAAATGTTAATAACCTGTGCCCGAGGCTTTGTTGAGGTAATGTCCAGCAAAGGGTGGTACTGGGGGCACTCAAGTTCAGTAGAGGTCTCAATAATCTGGAGTTATTTTTGAATCTCTTCTGGCTCACTGGACCTCTCTGGTTTCTCAGTTCTCAAATAAACACTCTGATCTTGTCTCAATGTAGAGGGCCTCATGTACACTCATGTATATTTCTCCCACTCTTATTCTATGATCACATAGAACAGGGGTCCCTGTCTTGAGAGAATTTTCTCTGGACCTCCGTGATGAAGTATATGTACATTTTTCATTCCATTCCACTCCATTTTATTCCTCATTTCCGCTTCATCCGTTACTGGGTCTTGGGGGCAGCAGTCTAAGCAGAGACGCCCCGAGACTTTCCTATCCATACACACTTCCTCCAGCTCATCCGGGGGGACGCCAAGGCGTTCCTAGGCCAGCTGAGAGACTTAGTCCCTCCAGGGTATGGAGCAGCTGGAGGCGTCCAGGAGGCATCCTGAAGTTCACCTGAACAGATGCCCGAGCCACCTCAACTGGTTCCTCTCAACTGAGGCAGGTGTGACTGAGCTACTTACTCTATCTCTGAGGGAGGGCCCAGCCACTCTGCGGATGACAACTGTCTTGGTGACTGTATGGCAAGTGTTACTATTGGCAACTATAACTATGACAACTGTTACCATGGCAACCATCATCAACAATCATCATCACGACTGTCACTATGACAATGGACAGACCATCTTGCGAATGTTTTGGGAGTTTGTTTCCAGTTGCCATAGTGATGGTTGCCAGGGTAGTTTAGTAGTCACCTAGGCAACCGTTACTATGGCACCCACTATGGCAACTGTTACCCTGGCAGCCATCACTATGGTTCCTGTTGCTATGGAAATCACTATGGTAGCTGTTACGTAAGCAACCATTACTATGGAAACTGTTACAATGGCAACCATCACTATGGGAGCAGTCATTATGGCATGTTTGATGGGGGGGTGTTGTGGCATGTGTGAAGGGGGGGGGTGGGGGGGGGGGTGGGGGGAGCAGAGTACAGGGAGGTGGTGGCTGCCTTCTCAGACTAGAATGAGAGAAATGGTCTGATTCTCCATGCGTCCAATACCAAGGAGAGGATAACTGATTTTCACAGGAGCCCTTTCCATCAACAGATTACCGTAAATGGACAGGACATCAAAGTGGTTCAGGCATACAAATTCCTGGGAGTCCACCTGGACCATAGACTAGACTGGTCAACTCAGGCCAATGCTGTCTTTAGGAAAGGTTAGAGCAGACTTTTCTTTCTGCGTAGACTGAGGTCCTTCGATGTTTCATACATTTTACCAGTCTGTTGTAGTTAGTGCTGTGTTCTTTGGGGTTGCGTGTTGGCGACAGTCTGACCTTGAGAGACAGTAACCGGCTCGACAGGCTGATCAGGAAATCTGTCTCTGTGATGGGGAGAAGTCTGGACTCTGTGGGAGCTGTGCTGGAGAGAAGGATGAGGGCTCTAATGTAGGGCATTCTGGGTAACTCCAGACCCCCTCTGCATGACACTATGGCCGCTCAGAGGAGTAATCAAAGCAACAGTCTCCTATCAGAACGCTGCCGAAAGGAACGTTTCAAGAAATCCTTTGTTCCTTCTGCTGTCAGGCTGTACAACAAACCTGGATGAGTCTTCTGCTGCTGGACTCCTGAATTTCTCCTACAGGGGATCAATAAAGTATCTATCTATCTATCAATCTGTCAGGGATGAAGCAGACAGAGACGGATCGTGGTGCGCCAAACTCTGGAAGTTTATTTAAGTTTCTCTCAAGTTCCAGTGGTTTCCTTTGCTTCTTTCCCTCAGACAGAATGGAGTCAGTACACAGTTTATATAGTCATTGTCACGTCACACATCGAAAGACATACGTGTCACACAGAGAGAGTGCAAATCATAGTCAAAACATGGAGTCATCTTCAGAGTCCTTGTACAGTCCTGCACGTAGGCCATATTGCTATCGAATACTAACATACCTATTCATCTTATGGTAACTATCAACATGACCACAGACAGACATAATCCTTTTGAACACATTCATAGAGCCAGGAAAACCGTCAACGGTCCCATTTTATGCTTTTTGATTTTCTTTGCTTTAAACACCATTACAGTACAACAGTGCCTTGAAATGGGGACTGAAAGCTGATTTTGAAACCTGGTGTTATTAACAAACATGAAAGCAGCTAACGAGGAGCATACATCTGTAAGTACAGTGCTACTAAATGGCCATATGCCATTGTAAAGTTAATCATATGGGTTCAATTTTGGAGGACATTGGGCTCTATGTGACACAGTGGAAGCAGTTTATTCTCAGGTCTGAAATGACTGCGTACTGGCAAAAGCTGAACACCTAGCTTTTTGTGTGTTTACAAAGTTAGCAAGAGGCACCACAAAAGGGGAAAGAGACGGGCTCACAGGCAGCAGAGCAGTTTCAAATGAGATGACCTCTTTATAAGAGATGGCTATAATAGTTTACTGTATCACCCAAAATATTATCACATATGGACTGGGAAAAATGAAGAAGAGCGTAATATAGGACGTTAGTTGCCATAGTTACGGGTAGTTGGCATAATGATTGACATAGCAACAGTTGTATGGTAACGGTTGTCATAGCAATGCTTGCTATGGAAATAGTAACCATGGTAACAGTTGCTATGGCAATAGTCACCATCGCAACAGTTGCTATGGCAATAGTTACCATGGCAACAGTTGTTATGGCAATAGTCACCATGGCAACTGTTGCTATAGCAACGGTTGTCATGGCAATGCTTGCTATGGCAATAGTAACCATGGCAACAGTTGCTATGGCAATAGTCACCATGGCAACTGTTGCAATAGCAATCACTATGGTAACTGTTGCTATAGCGATCACTATGGCAACTGTTCTTGTATGAATGCAAATTTCTTGCAACTTAATTTGGGGGAGTTTGTTTCCAGTTACATAGTGATGGTTGATATGGCAATAGTAACCATGGCAAACCGTTGCAGTGGCAATCACTCTGACATCTGTTACCATGGCAAGCATCACCATTAGAACAATCACCATTGCGACTGTTTCCAAGACAACGTACAGATAGTATACATGCGTACGTATGTACTTAAATAATCTGTGTTGTACATGTTTTATATAATTTTTAAAAAGTGCCAGAAACAGACGGCATGAGGCTTTTGGAGCAGTGGAGCAGCTTTCAGTGCCTATAAGCAAGCTGGTCTCTCATAACTGATTGTTCACAACTTTATTAGTACTGACAATTAGAATTCTTAGAGTGTGACTCATATAACTTAAAGACAAGCTAGATAAGATAAGATCAACTCTATTGATCTTACAATGGCGTAATTTACTTGGAGAAATTTACCCTTATTCTCTAATTCTTTACCCTTAATTTATGACTGTTTCCCTTAATTTATTCCCTTATTCATTTGCTTGACAATCCTTACTGTTGAATGCCAAATTAATTGATATAATCATTATAGATCCAGGCTCTCTCTTCGGCTGCTCATCCACACGGGGCGCTAGAGAGCACGACCTCGCTGTCAGATCCGGCCCTCGCGTGGTAAACATCCGGAGCTCGTGCACATGGATGCAGCTGTGACCGGTGATCAGAGCTCTCCGTGACCGGTGATCTCCGTGACCATGCTGTCTGCGCTCTCGGCCCGGGTGGGACACGTGCTTGTCCCCGGGGATGTGTTCGTGGGCCAGGCGGAGGACATGCTGTCTCTGTCGGGCCCCACGCGAAAGGAAACGGCGGTGTGTGGACCGGGCCTGCGGAGGGACGGGGCCCGTGTGTGCGTGAGTGTGAGCGGGATCCTGAAGCACAAGGCCCCCAACGTGTTCTGGATCCAGGCGCACGGGAAGAGGGTGAGGAGGCTCTACTACACACCACTACACTACTGTTAGTATCATGGGGATCAAGTTGAATTGAAGGGAACATTTTATTCTACTTTGTTTCACCTGAAAGAATCTTGTAAAAGTAAAAATATTGTAAACAATTCAGATCGCGACACGCTTTCTTCCTATTATTAATATTATTATTATTATTATTATTATTTTGTTATTTTCTATTCTTTTTGGCTATTTGAACTTTTGGCTGAGTGAGAGTGGATTTCTGTCTGAAAATATAGATATAAAGAGTAATGAAAAATTCATATTCATATTTTCAATGAATCGTTCGAGTCCATTTATGAAGCACAATTCATGCTGGGCAAAGTTCTTTATAAATACATAAAATTAAACGTATTTACAAACATTATAAGCCACAGGCAACCAGTGCTGAGACCTGAAAACTGGACGAATGTGATCCTACTTCCTGGTTCTTGTCAGGACTTGAGCTGCAGTGTTTTGAATGTGCTGGTTTGGAGAGACCAGTGAGCAGCCAGTACAATAGTCTGACCTACTGGAGACAAAAGCATGGAATTTGGATAAGTCTGTGTAATTGTGCTTGGACACCTTGGTAATATGCATTAGATCTGATCTGAAGATGTGTGGACAATGAAATATTTTAAAAGTATTATTTAAAGTCTCATTGAATATTGCTTTTTCTTCCTCTGACAGCTCATAACATTCAGAGTCAGACATAACATCCTCATTCAGTTCTACACAGCCATAATTGAAAGCATGTAACTTATAGTGGCCTTTGTATTTATGACCCTATTTAAGGCCATTAACAATGATTCTATTCTGATCCTATTCACCATAGTATAATATAAAGTACAGTACTGAGATGGACTGAAACATGTTATAAACTATTGAACCAAAGTCTCCTCCACTCTCATTTTGACCTGCTTGTGTGTATGTGTGTGTGTGTGTGTCAGTACGTCCCAGTTAAAGGAGAGTGTGTGATCGGCATTGTGACGCTCAAATCTGGAGACGTGTTTAAAGTGGACGTGGGCTCCAGTGAGCAGGCCTCGCTGTCCTACCTGTCCTTTGAGGGGGCCACCAAGAGGAACCGGCCCAATGTGCAGGTGAGAAGGGGAAAGGGAGGCCAGCTTCAGGCATGATTTCACCCCCGTTAGTCCTGCGTTTGACCAGGGTAATCCTGCTTTAGTCCAGCTTTAGTCCAGCTTTAGTCCTGCTTGCGTCCAGCTTTAGCCCTGCTTTAGTCCTCCTCTGCTCCTGCTTTAGTCCTGCTTTGAACCTGCTTTATCCCTGCTTTGAACCTGCTTTATCCCATCTTTTGGTCCTGCTTTTTCCCATCCTTTAGACCAGCCATAGTCCTGTTTAAGACCTACTTTAGACCTGCGTTAGTTGTCTCATGTTCTAAATACATTCAGATCATTGGGTTTGTAACTGGTCTAATGGCCCTTCGTCCCGGCCCCTCTCCTCTTGTAACCATGTGTTGCGTGTGTCTGCGCAGGTTGGAGATCTGGTCTACGCTCAGCTCCTGGTGGCCAACAAGGACATGGAGCCGGAGCTGGTCTGCATCGACGGGGCAGGGCGCGCTAACGGGATGGGTGTGTTCGGCTCCGGGGGACTCATGGTCAAAGTGTCTCTGGGACTGGTGCACAGGTCAGACATCAGCATCTCGAACCCTCACTTAGACAATCGTATTAAAACCGCATCACGCCAACACTGATCCCAGAGCTTCTTTATTCTGCTTTGTATCTATGCAACGAGGATAACAAGCATTCGGTTGTCTTACTGTGATTATCCATACATGTGAAATGTGAATGTGAAAGCCAGATGTGAAAGACGTCTGAAGCTATGCAGGGCATGTTGCAGTAATGACCCAAATTACGAACGAACACAAGGCAGGAGTGTCTTTTCTTATTTTATTATAAATTTGACTTCTCTCCGTGAGCACAAGTCATTGTTCATTTATATTCACACACGTTCAAACAATCACTGATAAAAAGGAAAAAGGGCACCACCCACAACGGCCATTGGAAGGGGCCGACTGGGAGGAGCGCGTCTCCTGCTGTGAGGTGCGCTCGTTATGAGCGCCTAGATGGTAGCGTGCAGCGCGTTTGGATAGCCGCAACAGGGCAGGGCCTAGAATGAGTCTGGTGTGTGCGTGAATAGTCAGTGGTGGTCAGAGGGGCCGATGGCACATACTGGTTGCCTTGACTTTGTCAGTGTGCCTCAGGGCAGCTGTGGCTACAGGAGTAGTTTATCACCACCGTGTATGGAGTGCATGAATACTGAGATGTGTTTTTGAGTGTCCAAAAAGCTCTGTATGAGGCCGATGTATTTTTATATTATTCTCATTAGATCTCATTCTATCCAGGGACAAACGGTGGATACTATTATTTTTGCTAAAACCTTGAACTAGACATTTTCTTTTTTATACGTTTATTGCCCCATATCAAATACATAAATACATTCAAACAGATCAGCCACAAACAATATCCATGATTACGTTACAGTAGTAGTAATGCTGATTATCTAAAAGTAAATAAAAAATAACATCTGTATGAAAAAAAAAAGAAAAATATCATTAAATATGAACTTGGCCAGATGTGGTTTGTACATGGAAAGGAGAATGTGCATGTATACAGTTATATATTTTTTAGGGTGAAGCCATGACTGCCCTCTGTTGCAGACTCCTGGCCCCCAGCAGTGACCTGATGTCGGACCTGTCGGCGCTCTACCCGTCAGAGATGGTGGTGGGGATGAACGGGCGCGTGTGGGTGAAGTCCTCCAGCCTCCAGCAGACCCTCATCATCTGTAACTTGCTGCAGAACTGTGAGCATCTCAGCCCAGAGCAGAGGAAGGTGCTGTTCAACCGGATCAGACAGGGGGCGCTGTGAACCGGACTCCTACTGCAGAGACCAAGCCTTGATGGGGACTAAAGGGGCTCTGTTACACACTTGTGACTATAGTGGGATGTAGGCCTGTCACATTAAAACAAATACACAAAATAATGAGACGAAGATGTGTTGGGATACATTCTCACTGTGATACTGCTTTTTAAAACTGCAGCAAATTCAAAATATACGGAAAAATTACACAATATTTACCCTCTAAAGTGACTTACTCAACCATCTGCAGCGCACACATACACATACAATACAGTATTACCGATAAATAAGTAACATTCCTGACACTATTGCAAAGACATGTAGTTTAAGTTGATACAGTATTTATTGAGATAGGTCTTGTGGAATGCAAGCTGTAGTCTAGATTATTTTACATCCGTCAAGTCTCAGTTTGGAAAGTTTGGAGTTGATTGGGTGGGAACTATGGATTACAAAGTGTCTCAAATTACAGAAGTCGAGCTGTTTTTTTTTTTTCTTTTTCAGTTGTGAAACCAAAATTATGCGTGCAATTAGTGAGCAGCTCTTAAAGCCGGTTCACCTAAGTTTCAGATATCTCTTTAATAACATCTACAGTAACTACTTCCTCTGTTGCATCTTTTGTTCAGCTTTTTCAGACAGAAAAGGGCCAATATAGGATCACCCTCACTCAGCCAATCAGCTTTCAGCCCAATGTGTCAATTTGTTCACTATCTACCTTTATTTTTTTTTTTTTTTTTTTTTGAGACTTTTGAAAAACTTGCATTACCCCAGCTTTAAATGTACATGAGGCAAACATCAGTGTACACCCGCACCACCGCTCAACATGTGGTTAAACTTGATGGCCCGGGATGTTTGGACCGAGACAGTTTTCCCATTCTCCTCCACGTAAACAGTGACTGAGTTCTGAAACTGAATCTCTAGGCCAGGTGTCTCCAACCTTTTTCACCCACAGATCTACTTTCCCGGGTCGATAAAGGCAGAAAGCTACTCCTTTAAGCACCCCTGGAAAAAAAATATATATATATTGGTGTGAACAAGCCTGATACTGGGAACAGTGATTATTTATCATCATATGTGTTACAAGTGCACAAAGTAAGTGAATTTTCAATAATACATAATACAAATTAATAAAACAATCTGAAATATTAAGTATATTATTTAATTTGTTCATTTCTAAATCCTTTGGCGAGCAACAGGTTGGAGACCCCTGCTATAGGCTTTATAATTCAACATTTGACTGAGTGTGCTGATGATTCTGACGACAGGGAGCAATTATTTTTTATTTCCTGTATTCTTGAACTTATGTTTTGTTAATCTGATATTTTTTCATGCATTTTTGAAATAAAATGTAAACCATTCCAAGAAGTCTGTTTACTTCATAAACATTTATTTCAAATATTTTAAGAAAAAATAGATTTACATACATTTTTCACTTTTATAACTTTTAACAGTGCTTTCTTTGTAAAACCAACAGACTTCAGTAACAGTGCAAACAGAACAGGACTCTAGCGCCACAGTCTGGATGAAGTTCAGAACACAAGAACATAGCAGTCTTTTACAGTAAAATGCATAACGCCAAAAAATAACAGTTTAAGGCAAAATTGGACAAAACAAAACCGGGTCAGTTTTTCAAACCAGCAAACGGTGGATCTTTGAGCTTCTCTTAAACGTGTTCTGAATCCATACAACATAAAACAACAGCAGGGTCGCTACAGACGCAACTCAAGCAGGACTTTGGCAAAACACGGCATTTCCCCAAACCAAAGCCGCCACAGGACCACATGTGTCAAACCGGGACAAGACCACATGTGCCAAACTGGGACAGGACCACATGTGCCAAACTGGGACTTTTAAATATTGGCTGCATCCAAATGAACACAATATCTCCATCCTTAACAATAAAAGTGTTACTCTTTTATTAGAGAAAGCACATCCAGGTTCAGGCAAGTGAATTTAAGAGCTTTTCTTTTTAAGACTTGGGTTGAAATGACGACAAGGGGGGGTGAGTTTGTGGACAGGCTTGGATTTTAAAAAGTACCACTCACATGGTTTCATATGGAATAAATCTAAATGACACTTTTTCATTGGCAGAGGTACTTCGAAAATGAGAATATTGTGAATGAGTTCAAGATTTTTGGTCAGTACTTTTTCTGAAATGACTGTCAAAAATAACCGTTTCATATTATTTTCATTGTTTTAGAATGTATGTTTCTACTTAAGTCCAACCTACTTGATTCAAGATTATTTTCTATACCATAATAAAGACACTGAATCGTAATGTTTAGAGCTACTCAGAGCAAAGTCTAATCATGTTTTTTGTTTTGTTTTGCAAAGTTGATCTTGTCTCTTGAAAACTGTGATTTAGTTCTAGACCAGAGAATAGTAAGTTAGCGATGCTTTTACCTTGACATGTTTCGGCCGTATACTGACAGATGTATACCGTCGAAACATGTCATGGTACTAACATCGCTAACGTTTTTCACACATGTTTAGCATCACATGGGACTTAAATTACAAATATTAGGATTCTCAAAGTATTGAATAGAATTTATGGACTTCCTCTCTGTTTTCAAATCTTCTGTATAATGCGACATCACAACATAGAGTGGGATAAATAATTTTTTAGGCCATTGTCAATGCTCACTATTGCATATTGTATATAGCTGCTCTTCATGACTAGATAGTTAAAAAAAAATGGTGTGTGTTAAAATCAGATGCAATAAAGAAGCGTGAAACCAATTTAAAACAAAAGCAAAAAAAAGCTCTTAATTCTTTACCCAACTTTTAACCCTACCGTGAATATCCTTATCCTAACCCTAACCTTTTTAAATTCACAAAGATTCACACTTTTTGCGGAGACCAATTTTGAGCTAACCCGTACATGATCTCTCCACGTTTGAATTAGAAATTTGGACCAAAGAAATGAGAAAAGTTGAGTAGAAGTTGCGTATGTGTAGCTGCTGGTCCCAGTCCTGAGAAGGGCGGCGGCCTGGAGGTACGTGACAGTAGGTTACCATGGTGATGTCCACTCTGGCGGTCACATGACGTGGCTCTGGATGCCCGGAGTGAACTCTTTAGCGTAGGGGTTCAGACTGGACTGCAGCTGAAAACACATCAGTCAGATATTTACATGTACAGAACCTGGGGACGTTCCTTTATTGGCCCTTTAACATGGAAACGGGAAACTTTCCGTGGAAGTCAACAAGAAGAGACAAAGAGATGGAGTCGCTGTAGTCTCTTTTATCAGAACACAGTCAGGTCAACACAGGCCGGTTAGAACTTGAACTTGAATCTCACCAGTATGTCTGAAGCATAGCAGCCGCAGTCGTGGTCTCCCGTCTGGGTGAAGCTCTCCGTCAGCACTCTGGAGACCGGCTCCTGGGGCAGGTCTCTGGACGGGATGAACCACTCCGACTGTTCCTCCTCCTCCAACATCTCGTTAAAACAGGACTCGATAAAGTCCTGCTCCCACAGCTCCTCCTCCACCTGCAGGCAAGACCCCACATATGACATGGCGATCCAGTCCATTTCCAACATCTGTGATCACTAACAAGAAACAGTGTTCATGGAAGTGAAGATGGATACTTCAGGCCTCCAGTAGCACAAACATGACACACATGATCTCTATCAATAAACAATTTTTAAATGTATTCAGTTACAAGATACTGAGTCAATCCATCTATGCCAATAAACCATTTCCTCCTCGGAGGATGGATGACTCCAGGAGGAAGTTCTGATCACAAACTCATTCATCCACATTCACACCTCTAGATCCCTCAGCAGCACTGCCACACTGCAACCACGGCAGGGTCATGGTCCTGGCTTACATGTGGCTTTCAGGTAAGAAACTCAACAGCAAAAACACCTCCACCCCGCTTCATGTAGGCAATGCACACACCAGGGGCAAACTCTTGCTCCCTCCACTGTCATACGTCTCACATTCAACACTCTCTTTATGCCATCATGCTATTCGTACCTTGGCCTGCCTCTCGGTCTACTACCACTCATACACCATTCATCACTCTCTTTCTCTTCATCCTCTGCATATGCCCATACCATCTCAGTACTCATGAATCTGCTCTTCCAGCCAGGTTACCTAACACACCTCTCTCCATAACTGTTCCTCATTCTATCCCCTCATCATTCTATTATATTATTTATTAGTTTATTTGAATATGGAGAGTATGGATTAATCAACATTTCTGTAAATATGTCAGTAATAGCTATACAGCTTTACAGATTTCTGTAAATATTCTAAATCTGCGGCAATCTTACACAAAACATCGCAGAAGTGTGTTTACTGACCTGTCTGTCAAACTCCTCCTCGTTCTCCATCCACATGAAGTCAGCGAATGGGTTATCGTCCAGCTCCAGGATGAGCTGCCCCTCCAGAGGCATCTGGTTACTAATGGTCATCTCCCCCTGAGGAGAGGAGAGCAAGTGGTTACTGATGGTCATCTCCCCCTGAGGAGAGGAGAGTGGTCCTGAGGTCATCTCCCCCTTCCTGTGTCTCATAAATATTACATTTGTTTTAAATTGCCCTTTTCTCTGAAAATCAAGAACCAAAGACAGACCTTCTGGTCATCGAAGGGTCAGCTTTGGTCCATTCTCTGCCACAATAAAAGAGAATATACCTTTGGAGATGTTCAACATTGGCGTTCAGTACATATGACTCAGGTTCATTCAGACCGGTCACGTCACGGTCACACCATCACTTGTCACCTCAGACGAAGGTTGAAGCTTTTTCCGAAACATGTCAGGTACTTCATTCAGCTAGAGATAGATAGAGCTGTCTGGCAAAACCAGGAACCAAACTGTGCACAGGTCATCGCTGCGAACAGCTCCGTAAAGTTAGTTACTCCGTGCGCCTTTGATTTGATGCACATTTTGCCAGACATCTAAACTAGACCTGAAGACCTTGAAGCCCGGCCAGGCTGATTCGGTTTGAGCATGTGCGGTAATTGAGCGAAAATGTGGTTCTTTCTTCTTGTCTTTTTAAAAGGCAGCACATTGGATTCTATTTGAAATTAGGTGAACTACACCAGAACAGATAGCAAATTTTTTTTCAACTAATGATTCTTCCCAAATTAATATGTCTAGTATGTCTTAATATGAGGCTAATGATAATTGAAAAAGACCAGAGATTAATCCCCTTTTCCTTCGCATTGCTCCATTACTGTGCAGTGCCTCTATCTCTCCCTCTCTTCCAGAAATACACAGACAGACCTGTATACAATCATCTCATTAACATTTGCATGATAATTATTGATCACAAAAAATATAATCCAAAAAGTCTGCACAGTCCCGTGGTGGGGGGCATCTAGTGGTGGACCTCAAAGGGAACTAAAATATCGTGCCGAGAACTCTGCATAAGTCCGTATTTAGCTACGGCCTGTCCAACTGTCTCTGTGGCCATATGTCTGTGACAGCCAACACCGTGGACTGTCCTCAGCTGTCCACCTCACGGTCAGTGCATTGAGACTGATTTACATTTATTCATGTTAAACATCTGTGTTCATTTTGTCCATTTAGCATAATCTTCACATTAATTACTATGGCACAAATTCCTAAAATAAAATGAAAATATATTGGATAAACATCTAAAACTAACAAAGACAAGATTAAGACTTGTGAAACACCCTCCATCAAGTGGTATAGGAAAGGATTTTGCTATTACTGTGCAACATCTAATAGTATGCCCAGTTTATTCATGCTTCATGTTATTTCAAAAAACAGAAATAATTTAAATTAATAGTTAAAGCTATTTCTATAATCAATGTGGTTTTGTTGGTCTTAACAGAAAGTGTCTTGTGAAAGTACTAGAGTCACTTGTTTCTTTTTCACCTTTTGTGTCTGGAAAACACTTATTTAAAGATCTGCAACATTAATGACAGAACCAAGAACCAAACTGTTTTAGAGTCAGAAACTGATCACTTAAATGTTCATAGGAGGATTTACCCAAATTTTAAGAAAGAACCACCACCAAAACAATCAAACTCTGGTCTTATTTGACGAGCACGTAACACCAACAGATTGACATTTGGGAGAACCAATAATCTTGATGATCCACCCGGAAGTAGAAAATCCTCTTATATTCCTTTAATACATGGATTCTACGACAGATGTTCATTTTTATGGTCTGAAAATATACTTATTTTCTGTTTAACTAAGTTCCATTGAGCGATTGCTGATTTACGATGACTTTATGACACTTTATGAACAGAACCCATGCTCTGCCCATCTCACTGTACTAAGCTAATAATAACATCTCGACTTTTCTGCTCTGGGGTTCACTTTGAGCAGTTCCACCTCCGCGGCTCTGGTCCAACTCCCCCCGGGGATGACAGCGCTCTCTTCCCGGGGTCTGGAGCTCCATGTGCAGTCGCGTATTTACCGGGAGAAGTGTCTGCGGCTGTGCTCCGTGTCCTGGCCGGGGTTCAGCGGTGTTTGTGTCGGTGGAGAGAGTGGCTGGAGCGCTCGGTCACAGCTGGTGCTATGTTCCAGTGAAAGCTAATGGCGCCTGTTTGTTTACTGCCAGTGCGCGCTGACGTCATCACGCCACACGCTGACGTCCTGTTTATGTTTTCAGTTAAAGCTAGGGTACGTATCTTAATATTTACAGTCTATCTATGGTCTGTACCTTATGTTTTTTTTTTTTCTTTAACACTAGAACTTCCAGAAAAGTCAATTTGACGGCCTTTCGTTTTGGAAGAGTATTTACCCCTCTTATGTACGTTTTTGATCTTCCTAGCTTTGTGACCTTTTCTGTTTCTATATAGTTGTTTATATCTATGTCATTATGAATTTTGTTTTCCTGTTTTTCATTTGTATTGAAGAAAAAAACAACAACATATTTAATTACTTAACAGTAGCTCAGTTGACTATCGACTCCCACTGTCTGCTGTCGTTGTGTCCTTGGCAAGACACTTAACCTCTGGGGACACCAGCCACAGTGGGGCGGCTGCGGCTGTAAAGTGCCAAACTGCTGTTGTGTCCTTAGGCAAGACACTTCACCCCCATTGCCTAGGACGAGTCTGGTGTGTGTGTGAATGGTTGGTGGTGGTCGGAGGGGCCAATGGCGCAAACTAGTTGCCTCGCTTCTGTCAGTGTGCCCCAGGGCAGCTGTGGCTACAGTAGTAGTTTATCACCACCGTGTTTGGAGTGAAAGAATAATGTAAAGCGTCTTTGAGTGTCCAGAAAAGCGCTATATAAAACCCATGCATTATTATTATTATTAATTCTAGTTCTAGTCTCCATGCCTCCGCTCTGTATAATACACTTGCATTCTCTTGTATCTGTGATCGTGCTGTCTCTACCATTGACAATAAAACATGTCTTCTGTCTGAATTTAAGACACGATCCCAGACTTTGTCATCTTCTTCAGGTGGTGGAAGGATGCGGGCCTTGTCTGTAACATCTAGAGAACAGAAGACTCTTTTTTTTTTACACAAAAAGTGTTTTTTTTTTAAGACAAAACTGAGAAACCTCAAGAGAAACCATGCATCTGGACCAGCACACTTGGACAATCTGCACAGCCCCTGATTCCAGTCAGGCTGTGAGCTGCTGAGACATGGACAAGACCATCGTCCTCTTTTGCATGGACACCATTTGGAACAATTGGATTACACAATTTGGAACAATTGGATTTCTGAATTTGGACATAATTTGGACTGAATTGGATTGCTGAATCTGGACACTGAAGCTGAAACGTGTGATTGAAAGACACGTCACAGAAGAATTCATGGCTCAACACAACAAATGCAGCCTGAAGAAATCAACATGGAGAAGTGGGAGAGACTGTTTTCAAAGCAATATCTGGATCCACCATCGACTGATGAAGTTTGGTATTTTACTGAAGATTGTTGACAAGTTTTATGAAAGATCTGAACATGTTTTATGAGTTTTCTGAGTTTTTGAAGTATTCCGAGTTCTGAGTTTTTTGAAGTACCGAGTTTAAGTATGAGTTTTGAAGTATTGAGTTATGATGTTATGTTGCTGTTTATCGATCCTGATGGTCACAGGTGAATGTGACCAGAGGGGGGAATGTGAGATTTCATAACACTTTGAAGCAACTTTTGTTAAAGTTAAACTCATCATTCTATCAATGTGCAGAAGCCAGTACTTTTCCCTTGTTTTGTCTATCTGAAGGCCAAGCTACAAGCACAACGTGGAAGCTGCTGATTGGAGGTCTCCATGCCTCCGCTCTGTATAATACACTTGCATTCTGTTGTATCTGTGATCGTGCTGTCTCTACCATCGACAATAAAACATGTCTTCTGTCTGAATGAAAGACGCGATCCCAGACTATGCCATCTTCTTCACAGGTCTAAAGCAGATCTAAAGCAGGTCTAAAGCAGATCTAAAGCAGGTCTAAAGCAGGTCTAAAGTGGGGATAAAGCAGATCTAAAGCAGGTCTAAAGCAGGTCTAAAGTGGGGATAAAGCAGGACAAAAGCAGGTCTAAAGCAGGTCTAAAGCAGATCTAAAGCAGGTCGAAAGCAGGTCTAAAGCAGGTCTAAAGTGGGGATAAAGCAGATCTAAAGCAGGTCTAAAGCAGATCTAAAGCAGGTCTAAAGCAGGTCTAAAGCAGATCTAAAGCAGGTCTAAAGCAGGTCTAAAGTGGGGATAAAGCAGGACAAAAGCAGGTCTACACATTTTCTAGGAAGATAAAGACAGCATGGTCTGGTCTGATTTGTTCATATTTTGTTTTTTCTTTTGGAGAAACCGCACAAAACAGAATTAAAAAAGCAGTTGTAAATATTGTTCAGCCATACACAACTTGAATTAAGATTTAAGATTAAGAGAGCCTTTATTCAACATTTCAGTGTTGCATCACCGGTTACAGAACAGTAGGAAAAAGGACACATAAATAAACATAAATAAATAAAGAAGAAAAAACTTTACTGTATATTCTTGTGAAAGAAAAATATAATTGTGTGTTGTAGTGGAAATTAAATACTTCAATGAATGGATCCAAGAGAATTTTTGTTGTTGTTGTGCAATTTATTGAAAAGGTGATGAGAATAAACAATAGAGTCAGACAGAAGCGACTTCAAAGCCTGCGTCGTTCCTCTCTCTGCTCTGCTCACATCCCACATTAAATAATATAGTCGGATAGAGAAAGAACAACGAACAAGACATTGGGGGCAAGGTGGGTTTGATCTATGCAGGAAGAGGAGATAGGACCTAAAGGGAGGAAAGAAAAATAATTGTGCACCTGCCATAACATTTAACATTTGAATGAGCAAAAGGGAGTGTTGATTTACTGCCAGACCCAGGCTAAGGTCATGTGAGAGTGACCCAGCACAGGAGGCCTTTGCTCCAATGTATCAGTGAATTTGGTTCAATATATTCAAATGGGAATTTTGCCATAACTGTGTATTTGTCACATGGGTAAAATTAAAGGAGACCCAAAAGTGCATAAAATAATGGATTTAATAAAAAAGATAAAACAAAATCCTAAAACACAGGGACCGAGAACAAGAACTGAAACAGACGAGGAATGACAATGACGGAACCGGGAGTGAAGGAACACACAAGGATAAATGTCACTCCCGTATTCGTCCGGAAGTTCAGTTTGATCCAATGTTTACGTCACGGAATCTAGACGGAAGCTGAAGTAAATATAAAAAACTACCTATTCATGCCTAAACTTAACCAGCCATTCCCATAAAATAACCCCAACCCAGCCTTAACCCTAAACTTAACCATCTTAATCAGACGCCTAAAACTTAACCAGTCACCACTTAAAGACGTATTACGCTTTTTGACATGCGCAAACTGAACTTCCGGACGAATACGGGAGTGACACTAAATACAAGACTAACGACACACAGGTGATACACAAGAGGGCGGGGCAGGTCGTCAGACAGGAAGTACAACCAAAGAAGACACTAACAAACTACAAAAACAGGAAATAAATCTAAACCATGCCAGTATAACTATAGTTTGGAAATGTTTACTAAATGTTTAGACTGTTTGAATAATAGCTTGAAGAAGAGTTGGTCTAGGATTACTGTTGTTGTCCAGTTGTTTCTGGACCTTCTCTCTTCTTGTACAGTCCTTCCATTCACCCAGAGCAGAATCCAACTGTTTGAGGCTATTTTTAAACCGTCTCAGTGGGAAATATTTGAAGCACATTTAGAACAAATGCAAAGGTCACTTTGAGAGCACTACGAACAAACTTGTTGTTGAAACAATTATCGATTTCATTTCATTTCATTTATTGTCGTTTGGTCATTCACAGTCATATACCAGTTTAAATCCAGTTTAAATCAAACACGATAACATAAGTTAGTCTGTGCATGACCAGGCACAGGCTGAAGCCAAAGCTTATTGTGCCTGCCCCTAATCCACCTTATTAAATCAAATTCAGCACATTAGCAAACATCCATATTGTAATTATTAATACAACACAACACGTTTCTGATTGTTTCACTGTCACATACTTTTCCATCATTATTTCTATGATTTTTTTTGGAACTGAAATAGAGAAGTAGCACCTTTTAGCTCATCGCAGCAACTGTTCCATAATTTCACACCTTTACTGGATAAACAATTTATTTTGAGTTTGCCTTTCTGTGAACAAAACTGACTGAGGGATTTTTTTATGTTAAACTCCATACATGAACTTAGCCGTATACAGATCAACCAAGTCATAGACTTCAGTAATAAGTAACAAAGGCGCAGCTTTACAAAACTCTGAACCACCAGAGCATGATTTTTATTCAACATTGATGTATTTTCACATTTACAAATCGTGTGCTTCTGGAAGCTCAGGCAAGTATTTCAACTTTGACATGATGTTATTTTTGGTAATTTGCTGCTCAAACAAATTGTAATTTGTAAGTTTATTTATACTGTGTAAAATGTGCAAGAAATTATCTTTGTTTTCTATCACAAAAATGATCCTCAAAAGTATCGCTGCAATATTGAAAGTGATTCTTTTCACTACTGTGTGGACACGACAGTTTGTAATATTTTCATTTTAATGTACATCTACATATTTCATAGACTTCCCTTGATGATTGGTCAATATTTACAAATCATATTTGAGCTTTTCAAGAAGCATCGCTGTCACAGATCCACAGACACAGAAAACATGTGTCTCTGTGGTCAGCAGGAGCAGGCCCTGAAGCTCCGCTCAGACAGAACACAGAGCTGAAACTACAGTCACAGAGGGAACAGCAGAGAAACCAACCAGAGCGGGATCCAGGGGAGATAGGGTTCAACGCTCGTCACCACCCACCACCACCAGCAGCCCAAGATGGAGTGTGTTGAGAATTGACAAAAAGAAAACCTTGAAGCCAAAAACAAATTAATCTGGAGTTCTGAAAATAAGAACGTCGTTGCTTCTAGTGCCCAGCTGCTGAAGCCCGGAAAGTTGTGGAAGATAACACTGTGATGTTGTTTGTTGCTTACGTGGCTACAAAGAGGATTCTGATTCTAATAATACATTTAGGATCAACACTGTAACAAATCTCTGTAAAATTACAATGAAATTTCAACATTAAACAAATGTTATTTTGAAAAACAATTCAAACATGCAAATTTAAG